ATATATAGAAAAAGGAAAACGCACGGCGCGTCTGGGTTCTGACATGTGCATTGAATAAACTATTAACTGACATACTATAGGTTTTTTGGGAAAATTAAGGAACTTTTTACCCTAAAGAAAGTCAACCTACTAGACACTGGCAAGGCTAGAACACATTCTCCATACAAACATAGCAACGGTCCACAGAAGATGGAGACTGGTACATCATTCCAGGGCAGACACCACACTAAACTTGAAGTACCGGTCTGTAGATCCGGCGATTCAGGCTCGACTTGATATTACCCTCTTTTTTTTTTTTTTTTTTTTTTTGCAGGGCAAGACAAGTCCGATGCAAGGCAAGCTGGAGCAGAAAAAGAGAGCTAGCCTCCTTTATGCCCATTTGGCGATTGGAGAAAGCTCATTGAGGCCGATTTAAAACTCCCTCATCTATATGTTTGTTTTATACGCATATTTTTTTCGACCTTTACTTTTTCTTCCCTTTTTACACTTTCCACAGTGTTAAATGGGCGGATGTTTAAATCCCATAGCGAGACGAAAAATCCTCTCCCGGCCAAAGACGATTGACAAGCCCGAAAAGCCTTCAGCGGGAAGCAAAAAGGAAAAGAGAAAGAAAAACAAAAAATATCCGAGCGGGGATCTCCGAGAGGCGGCGAAACGATCGAAGTTCCCAAATGGAGTCTGAAGTGAAGCTTCAAAACATCTTTCTACCGGTTCCGAAACAGGTAGCTCCATTCTTACGGGTTTGATCTCTACCAAGAACAACAACATCTGGAGCGTTAAATCAACTTCTTTACGACTGACCAGATAGAGAAGGGGTTAAAAAAAAATAAGAGAGTTAAAGATATACGACTGTTTCTTGCCGGAAGCCTGCAAGAAGGTTAGATTAGGGCTAGAAAAGCTCTTGCGTTTGTTATTTTTTGTTTTACTCAACGGGCTATGGTATTATAGCAACAGCTATAATCATCAAAAATGGAAGTTCGACTTCAGGACATGCAAGCACCGAGAATCGGCCTTATTTTTCTATTATCCAGATTTCAAGCCATAGCTCCAGCCGCATTGCTAACTGAGCCACTTCTGCTGCTGTGTCCCTGGCCACACTCAAGTCGTGTTTTGTGGGCCATGATCTGCTGCCTGACTCCTGCTACGTACATACATCGGATGTTTGTTCTATCAAGGGCAATCGGATCAAAGGGTGGCCGCCGAGACAGCGCCGGGGAAACTCCAGTTAACTATCTACGAACGCACATTGCTAGTTACCTACCCTGTGGCTCAGTCTATCTCAAAGCTCCTCAGGGATCTCTCCAAGGCTCGGATGATCTCTCGAAAAAAAAAAGCTGATCGAGGCTTGGTCTCCACCGATCTACCTCCCCATGGCCAACCATCGATATGTGAACAGCAGTTTCCTTCCCGCCGCATCGTGTGGTGTTCATGGATGTGGCTTTATCCATCTATTATTAACTTCTCAATTCTAGACTTTGTGTGATGCGATCATAGGGAGTCGGCACATGCAGCTAGTTTAGGCCAAGGGAAGGGGGTTAATGTGGTCTGCAACACCCTCCATATAGATCCTTGAGCTATGTCCCATGGAACACACAAACAAAGAAGATGAGGGGGAGACGGTTTCAAAGAGTAGTGCTTGAGTCCCAGGCCTTCACGAGCCATATGATTGACTGGGGTAGTTGCTAGTGAGATATCTAGTAAGCACTTGTCTCCCATCAGACAGATTGGGATGGACAGACGAAGCAACCTCGCCAGCTTGATCAAGGGGGACAATTTACCTAAAACGGCAGAACACCAGGTTAGGGAAATTGAAAAAAAAGAGAGAGAAAAAGAAAGAATCAAAGGAGAAAAAGCAAAAGGAAACAAGATGTACCACCCACGTACCAAACTTTCGATCAAGCTGCTCTCCTTCTCTCGCTTCTCTGCTCTCTCCTCCTGTGAGGTATGTATACATGCTTCCCTCCACAAAAATACCCCCACCAAAGCTTCCATAGCTCGTTCCTTTTTTGCCGTGGGTCTGGCTTACATAGCCGTGTGCATGCCTGTGTGCATGCCCTAAACACGATCTCCAAATTGTGTGGGGATAGGTGTGGCTGGTCTAGTCATTCGAGCAGTTCCTCAAGGAGCTTTCTATCCTCTTCACCATCCCTTTACTTTTTCTCTGCCCTGAAGCCTCGAGGAAAATTAACGGAAGAAGAAGAAGAAGAAGAATGATGAAGAAAAATAGACACAGAGAGGATGTTACACCCTCGGCAGATCGTCTTAACCACTTAAAAGTAGCCTTCATCTACTTTGCCACAACCAAGAAACGAATAAGATATCTTCTCAGCCCATGGAAAAGGGTATTGGTCAGGTATTAGTCTCACCTGGCCCGCACGAGCAAAATACCTCATATACACATCTTCGACTATGAAAAAGGGCAAGTAACAATAAGGAAGCCATTGTGTTGGCATTGACTTGCCTATTTTCGGCCCCATTGTAATCTCATCCGCTCGGTTTCCGGGAGAGCTGCAAGTCGAGCGGATAAGGCCCACCCTCTCGGGATTTGGGGCGAGCAGGATATGAGTGTTTCAGAAGAGAAGATATGAAAAAAAAAAGAACTAGGGAAGAAAATAATATCATGTAAGATGACCAGGGAACTGGCCCTGTCGCTGCCATCAAACCCATCCCCGTCGCCGGTACCTAAATTATGGGATATGGTTCCAACGCTTACATGAACTCCCGGGTCCTCGGACGGCAAAAACAAAACCAAAAAAAAAAATAGTAATAACAAAACATAGGTAGATATATCTGCTACACTCTCCATTGAAGGCTGTCTGTATATTCTTCCCTCCTGGAAGGTTGTTTTTCTGACGTTAAACAGGGCGCTGAGAGTTTGACCGGGCGGAAGAAAGGGATATGAAAGATGAAAAAACAAAGCAAAAACAGCGGAAAACTCAATCTAGACTTTTTGTTTTTGGGCGAATATGGAGCAAGCAGATGATGGTTGTTATCTCTGACCTGCCTGACTGCTTGCCTGCCTGACTTTCTGTCTGGCGGCCCGTCTGTCCGTCCTGGTGCATAGGGTATGCCTGAGTCAGACTGCAGGGTCCAACTGACTATCAATCAGCATCTGACCGCATCCGCCAGTCAATCTGATGGGCTTTTCCACCTCCCCCACGAATGGTGGGCATGACAGTCTCGGAATTGCCGTATGCCATTCAGCATAAGCAACGTAGCTCCTCCATCCATATTTTGTCTGCAGATTCAGACTAAACAGGGAACACAGCATCCGAGGCACTTGGCCCTGCAGCCTGCAGCCTGCATTCTCGATCCCCGATCTCCCCTCCCCCACAACATCATCCACAATCAATGCCTCATCCCCAGCCAAGAGAGGAGAACAGATCGCCCCTAAGTGTCTCTAGTGTCTAGTGACCTGTGGCGCAGGCATTGGCGATACAGCCCCATGTACCGCACCACATAACACAGCATGTGAGCTTTGTTGTTGTTAGTGCTGGAGTACGAGACCGCACTATTAGGAGAGAGGAAGCGTATACATGTGCACCTCGAGATAGAGAGGGAAGTTGTTTTGACCGAAGAATCAAGACCCGGGGAAATTAAAATGAAAAAAAAAAAATTCCCCGAGCCCCAAAGCCAAACCATAAAAAGCAGGTCGATCTCATTTCGTTTCTGTCTCTTATCATGGACCAGAACTGAACCAGGGAATGGACTGTTCTCAGCACTCTACCATCGACCAACTGACCGAGCGACCGACCTAACCGACGAACCCACCGACCAACCGATCGATCGATCGTAGTTCATGAAGGAAGAACTAAAGCAAGAAAAAGAAACGAGCCCGGGTCGAGATTAGGGGGGAAAGGTCGGTTGAGAAGATATAACTGGCTGGGAGATTCGCACGGAGCCTCAGTAGTAGACTTCGGTAGGGTCGAAGCCAATTTCTTCGTCTTTGTAGCTCGCTAGCGCTAGTTATTTGGTAGTTATAGAAGGGCATATCAAGGACGATGCGCTGTTGGTGTGCTATAACAGTGGTTTGCGGGAAGAGTTCATGGCGTATTTGCTGATCAGTTCGACTTCCACCCTCTCCCTTTCTTCTGGTTAGATATCGCACTAGAGCAAAGGCCGAGTCAGAGAGTAGAGAGCCAGAGTCAAACAGCCGGAAGATAGACAGATAGGCGGAGGCAAACGGAGAGGCGAAACAAGGAGGGTAAGGAAGGTAAAAGTCATTTGATCGTAAATATATTTTACCATGCATGTCAAATCAATTAAGACAGGCAAATAAAAGAAAAAGGCAAGTAGAGCAAGTAAAACAACAGTAACAAGACAAACCACATGCTCCGATATTATATTAAAAAGAAGAGAAAGAAAAGCACAGGGCCGAACAGTAACCCTCCCTTCCATTCTGCCTGATATCCCAGATCCCTTATTTTGTGATTCTGCGTATGTATTTTGCGTGTTTCCCCCCTCTCTGTGCTGGTTATTTTATTAGTGATTAAGGTAGAAGAAAACGAGGGGGGACACGTCAACAGGAGCAAAGAGACGAAGAAAGACGGGGCGAAGAGAAAAGACAAGGTTAACTGGCCATTGATGAACCGGGGAATGTGAAGAACCGAGGGAGTGGACGCAGCAGGCTGGATAATTAAGGGTGGATAGCAACCCACGGTTTGGTGTCGAAGATCGAGACATACCCCTCATCGATATGACGATGAAAAGAAAAGGAAGAACAAAGAGATAACAAAAGGGTGAACGTTTATTTTATTGCCTTGGGGTGAAAAAAAGGGACAGCCAAACCATCTCACGTTGAGCCTCCCATGGCGCACGAGCCTCGAGGGGGACGTTGCTTCGGTGTAAAATAGACGGTGATTGCTCGGCCTATGAGCGAGAGAGATAGTTTGTTGCTTCTGATCCATGGGTTGATGGTTGACACGGCGCAGCGTAGTGTAGCATAGCGGGATTTTAGTGTACCATGATATTAATTAGTTAGGTTCCCCCATGTCGTCCGTCTATCGAGCGATGATAAGAGAAAATCCCATGATGCCGGCTTCTATGCCAGTTCCTACCGTTCCTGTAACGCCTGTGATCCTGTATCCTCTGGGGGGAAGCAATGTACCGCTGTGGCATGGTAGCATTTTGGTTAGTTGTAAGCTGTGCCTGTGGTTGTACCGGGAATAGTAGAAAGTGTATGCAACATACCCCTGGCCGGCCTTTGAGCACCCATAAACGCCGGACCGTCTACCGAAACTAGTAAGGATTCCAATGCCGTGTACTCCGTCCCCGTCGGCGCGCAGATGGAAGCCCATAACAATTTCACCCCGTCGTGAGTCTGCACCTGTTAGTCACTCATTCGTTCATTCATCGTAGGGGTAAAGAGAGAAGTAGCTTACCGAGTGTGTACTCGCCATCAATCAACCCCTGACCCTTGTCTCCGAATAGCTGACTGGTCCCATCTTCGTAACGGAACTCGATGCCTGCAATCGTTCCCCTAGCCTGCGCCCCAACGTCCAACCCCGGCTTCTCACCAGCAAACACCTTGATGGAGGTAAGTAGTTTATTTGCCTCGAAAACCACCTCATGTCTCTCCCCCTGCGAACTCTCCATATATCCCCGGTAGCTTAACTGGCCATGTCCAGTGACGGTAGGCACTTTGACAGTCCACTCCTTGTCCTTGTTCTTGAGAGTAGCCAAGTCAGCGACAGTAAACGTAGAGAGACAGCCAGAGTAGATGCGTAGACGGATCAGTTTGGACTTTCGACAATGGTCAGGCAGCTGGGCACGGATCTCCGCCTCGGTGAAGCATATCTGCCTGGGGATGTTGCTGTTACCAGCTTCGGCGTCGACATATTCAATAAAGGAAGCTGGGATGTCACTGTCGGCAGAGGTGAAGATCTCGATAAAGGCGATGCCTGCACCTGAGGTGACAAGCGTCTTCCCACCGTCAACTGGCCAGAGCTGGATGGTATCTGTGGGAGGCGAGAGCGGATCGCTGGGTAGCTTGAAGCATGGATGGAAGCGGAACCTGAGGACGTCCAGACGGTGCCAACCACACTCGTCTGGCGGGAGCAGCAGACGCGCGCCTCGCTCCTTGGTGCGAGTCGAGTAGGGCTCCCAGGTCATGAAGGTACGGTTGAAACGAAGGTAGTCTGGGCCCATGATGCCCGATTCAGCGTCATGGCAGCCAAACAGATGGCCGACTTCGTGCAGATGTCGGCCGAGCGATGAACTGGCGGTTTCCCAATTGCTTCCACACTCGTTGTTGTGGTTGGCAACATAAGCCGTGTCCGTACGGGCACAGTCCGTGAAGGCTGATACGATATCCTGAAGACATGAAGGGTAGCTGTGCAGGCCGTGGGAGCCAAAGAGGGCGAGCTTGAGGTCGGCAGACTGGGAGGAGCCCAGGGCAGCGTGAGCGGTAAGTGATTTTGTGCTGTTGTCCCAGTGTGTGTCGAGCAAGAGAACGGAGACGTAACGCTGTTCACCGGGCCGTAGGCCAAAGTACTTGCGTACAGAGTCCATGGCGACCTTTGAGGAGACCGCCCTCGGTCCTCAGTCGTGGCAGCACTGAGGCCCGCAGCTCTTCGACCGTCTTTGTCACAGCGGATGATATGAACCTTGGCTTCGCTCCGCATGATACCGTTGTCCGCATCTCGACCGCTCAGGCTGCCGGTCTGCCACTCCTCCTCGAAATGGAAGCACCTCCGTCCAAAGTTGTTCCTGAACATCTGCTCGCCGGTAAAGGCCTGCCAGAGGTAAGCGGCCATCCTGAACTTGCGGACGGCATTTTCGAGGTCGTTGGCACCCTTGTTGGGAGCTGAGTCGTACTGTGCATCCGAGTCACTGCCGAGAAGGATGGCGAGCTGTAGGGGCGGCGAGTTTGCTAGGGGAAGGTAATTGATGTTTATCCAGGAGGTATGCGGAGTGGCTGAGGGAGCCGCTTTGGGTGAGGCGAACTCGAGGCGGATGCGATTCGGCCCAGGAACGAGGTGGACCAGAGCCTTGAAGCAGGACGCACGAACCGGCCATGATACAGAAGGAAAGGAGTCCTGGAGGTGGTAGATGGTGATACTGCCGTCGACCGGAGATTTAAGGGGTTCCCGATCGCCAATGTTTCCGTACAGTAGTAGGAGTTTTTGGTTCACCTAGTCTCATTAGCTTCGTTCTTCTTTTTATTGTCTATATAAACATCCAACGCATACCCAGGAATTGTCTGAGATGGAGAGCACTCTGGGAGCAAAAAGCGAGGTGGGAGTGAAGTTCTTGGTCGAGTTTGACGCCGTTGGATTGATGCCCTGGGTATAGCTATATGTTAGCAGCCATAGTATAGATACAGAGAAGAAAAACGCACCACCATGCTGTTCCTGCATGACTGGGAGGTGATGGGCACCGTCCTCTGGGGCGGCTGGGGCAGCCATCCCTCCGACTTGGACAGGTAAGGCAGATGGCCGGACGAGAGAGTCGGCTTGATCGAGGGAGGAGGCGTGTTGCCGGGGCTGTGGACTGAGGAATCGGTGGTGGAGGCCTTGGACATGCCATTCCCGTTCGTCTGTCCATTCCTATGTCCATTATCGAGGCTTGCGTTGCCATTGACGCTGGACTCGCCGGCGCTGCTGGACGGAAGAGACGGGCAGGGCGTCGTTGATGTTGCTGTCGTCACCTTCACGACCGGCTTCGTTTGAAAACTAGCCCTCGAACGACGACGAAGCTCCTTGAAGAAGGTCATCCCAGAGCTCTTGTTCTTCTCTCCGGACGCCATCCTCTCGACTTCTTCTTCTCCTCCTTCTTCTCCTTCTTCTCCTTTTAAACGAGTGAGGGGAGCAGAACTGCTGCTACCAACAGGAACTCGACCAAGATGTAGTTAGGGAAAAAAAAAAACCAAGGCAAAAGAAAAGAAGAAGAAGTTGTGTGTGATAGCCTGCGGTGCAACAGTCTTCTATATCTGTGTCTTGTCTTCTGTCTGTCTTCTGTCTGTCTTCTGTCTGTCTTCTGTCTGTCTTCTCTTCTGTCTTCTTCTCTGGCTGCTCTCTATCTTCACAGCGTCAACATCACCAACAGACAACAAGAACACTGAAAGACACACCAAGAACCACAGAAAGAATCCAGGTTCACCATCTCTTGCAGGGCCCAGCGGGTTCCTGGGATATGCTTGCTTTGCCTTTTGGGTGGCGGCAGCAGCAGGGACGGGAAAGGAAGAATAAGCAAGAAGCAGGCAAGACAGCAGGATCCCGGCAGCGGTTAGAAGCCTTAGTTAAGCCAGCTAAGACTTAGTTAAAGGCTTAGTTAAAGACAGTTAAAGCTCCAGGTAAAGCCTCTAAGCACGCCCGGTAAAAAAGAGTAAGACTGGCGATCCCTGTTTCACCCTGGGGAGATCCAGCAACTCCATCAGTGATAAAACTACGAGCGGACATTGGCTGAAGGACGAGTGAAGGCGTACATACACGTATATTACTTATTTATCAAGCGCCCAAGGGCCAATCAGTCCATAACATGCAAGCAGGCATTACGCAGTTGTCTCTGGTAGTGGCAAGCAGCATATCATGGCCGGAGGTAGACATTGACTATGTAGAGACCGACTGACAGACTGACAGTTGTTTTACAAATGTATATATATAGATAGATGGATAAACGTATATAACGACGATATGAGTAAGTATATGCTAAGTGTAAACAAAACGACTTGTCCCTTGCATCTTCCCTGTAGCTTGTTTGTATGTGTGGCTGGCCCTCTTTTTTTTTTAGTTATGGCTTTAGTTAAAACCTTTTCGCCCTTTCAACCTCCTTCTTCCTCGCTACAACCAACGACCGACGACGACGACTCCGACACCACCGGCCAAGAGACCCCACGGACGAGCGTGGTATACAAGCATTAAATCCTGCTGGCGACTGCTGGACAAAAGGGAGTACCCTTGTCACTCTACCTACGCCGGACAAGTTCTTCGGTGGGAAGTCTGGGGTGGGAAAAACCCTGCATCGCAAGCGACGAGCGACGAGGACACAAGGAACTCCCCCTCCCTCTCCCCCTTTGAATAGAGACCCTCAGAGTTCGATCCTTGGGTACAGACATAATATTGCTAGGTGGAGGATGTCAATCACCTCGCCTACCGCCTCTGCAAAGAAGGCCATCCACAAGATAGACATCGCTCAGGTAGAAAAGGTTACCCCCATAAACCGCTGGTAGGTTCATGTGCCAGCTAACAGTGCACAGGTATCCCTCAATCTTCAGGACCGCCTGGGGCTCGCCAAAGTCCGCTATGAACGTCTACATGGCCTTCACAGGGACAGGGACTCCCTACCGTCAGACTCGGACAGCGTCTCCCACCACCATGGACAGCAGTCTCACCACGAGACAGGCTCCGACTGCTCCTCGTCCGACTCTGCGGATGCCCGCTACTCGACTCCCTTCACCTCCTCCCCCGTCCGGACCCCAATGCTGAGCAGGGAGCTTCCCCGGTCCTCTCGCAGCCGACATGCTGCCACCTTCGACATCAAGACGATGCAGTGCATGACTTCTTCTGGCTCTCGCAAGCGGCGTCGGTGTGATCCGGGGGCGGCGGGACACCAGACCTTACCAAAGATGCCGCGGATATCGTGGAATGCGGCTGCTGGTGCTGCTTCTACTACGGATGGTGCCGGTGCTGCTGCGCCGCAGTCGTCACCCCTGACTCGACGAAGGACCTGCCAGGCCATGTCCTCCTTTGTCTCAGAGTCGGATACCATTCCTGACCCGGACATCGATAGACACCTTGACATAGACCCACAGCTATCAAAGCAGGTCTCTTCTTCCCTCCAACACCAATCACAACAGCAACCACCATGCACGCCACCTCCCCGACGAAGCCGCTTCCACGCCCAGACAGACGAAGATGCCTCCGCTTCTGGTTCGGGGGCCGATCTGCTCCTCTACCTCGCCAACTCGCCCACCCCAGCAACCATCAACGGCAAGCCCACCACCCACACAGACTTCCTCCCTTCCACACCACCAACCCAACACGCCATACCCTTCCAGCTCCTCTCCACGCCTACGCACTCCCAACCCTTCAACTTTGCCGACTTTGTCAACGTCACTCCCAGCCCGGCCCAGAGAGGCTGGTCGAGCAACAACGCCAACTCCCGCACACCTCTGACAAATCTACCACGCACCCCTCGCACCACCAAAGAGGTACGCAAGAGACTCAACTTTGACGCCCTCGCCCCGCCAAGTCCGGTCAGGGCTTCTTCTTCTTCTTCCACCGCCAAGCGTTCCGCTGGTGCTGCCGGTCTGGCACTGCAGCTTGGCGAGGAGTTTCCCATATAGCTCCCTTCTACTATTTGTTAATTGAATCATGAACCAGATATTTTCTGTTTGGCGGTCTTGTCAGTGTTACTTTTATTCCCTTTTTCTTCTACCCTTGCCATCTTTCACGTGTGCTATTTACCCTGTACAACAACCCTTCTTCTTCTCCCCCATCCCGCCATATTCTATGACCTAGCTTAATATCCCTGCCGCCTTATCTTTTAATCGCTGCCCAGCTGTACGGTTTCATCGATCTACCGCCACCAATCATCATGTACGGAGCGCCCGCTACAAAGCATGGCCTGTATGTAGTCTTCAGTTTACGACAAATTCTTGATGCTCTTTTTCGCTTTCTCCTCTTTCGGCGCGTAAATATAAAAAGCTCACTAAAAAGAAACTCGCGACGCGTCAACGCGCAAATTTCGTGTTGTAAACTTATGTAATTTATTAATAACAGAAAAGTCACGTGTCACTTCTAGTTTCTTACGTCATTTTCTTTGCTTAAAACATATCAAGTTTTTTTGATGCTCGTTGAAGAAGTTTTCCGTAGGGCGCAAACACGAAAGCATCTGATTGCATGGAACGGATATTATTAAGTCAAAGGGAGACAGGATTACTTGAAATAATCTCTACTTACGAAGTACTCCGGACATGGCTAAGAAATGAGGACGCAAACCCTAGCATAGGCTCAAGGGATCAAGAGTCTAGATCGGCGGCTTCATGTCCGCGTAGTCGTCGCCTACGAGATCGATATATCCCTAGCCGGCCGATAAACTTATGGAGTATCTCGATAACAAATATCCTTAGAAAAAAAGACATCATGAGCAACGTCATCCCCTTCGAAGTACAAAATACGGGATGCACGCGCGAGTGTGGGTTGATTTTTTTTTGTAAACTTGTCTCTCGAGGTTCTCAATTATACGTCAAGCCAGTCGCCGTCTTCAGGTCCTCTATAGAACTTCAGTGGCGTTTGCAATATAGAGCCCAAGCAGGTGGTGTATAGTTAATCCGACTATCACATGTTATAACTAACACGAACATGTTTAGATACGATGCTGTGGAGTTGATACTACACGAGGTCTTTTTGTTATATCGTACAGGACTGACTCATGCCCGGAATATAATATAAATAGTCGCCTGTAGCTCATTATCTGCTGTCCCCCTCCGGCGTTGCTTTTGCTGTAGCACGGCCTTTTCATCCTTACACTTGCACAAGAGCAGTCCAACAAGATGGAGAACCAGGTCAGGCTCATTGGAGCTTACACCCGCTATTCCAGTACGTTGCTTTCAGCCTGTGCAATGAACATGATAAAAAGGGATCTTAACACCAGCGGTTTAGGCTGGACTTCTCGTGTATCGGTCCTACTGGACTACTACCGCATTCCCCACGAGGCAGTCCTGGTATCATTGGAGGAGGTACCTACATCTAGTATCTACCCCATCTCTCCCTCCATCTCACGATGTTACATCTTAGTCCACGAAGCTATCGAAAACAGGCCTTGTGCCAGCTTTAGAGGTGCCATCTCTCGGTCCATCGTTCCAGATCAATGACTCGCTCGCCATCTGTGAATATCTCGCAGAGTCCCATCCAGACCTGCCCCTATGGCCCAGAGATGCCGCTCTGCGCGCCCAAGCCCGCAGCGCAGTCGCACAGATGCACTCTGGTCTCTGCACAGTGCTACGCACTTCTTACCCCACCAATGCACTCGGTAGGTACACGGGGAACATCCCAGTGTATGACGGCGCCATCAAAGAGGTGGAGAACTGTCTCAAGCTCTGGGGCGAGAGTAGGCGGTATACGGTCTCCAGACTGGCAGAGCTCAAACAGGTAGATGACGGCTTCTTGTTCGGCGAGTTTAGTATCGCAGATGCCTTCTTTTGGCCAGTCCTATGGGTAAGTTCTGTCTTATTATTTTTTTTTCTCATACTCAGCATGTCCCTTGAGTCATTTTTCCTTGTGATATGTCTGACATTCTGTGTCCCGCTCCGAAAAGCGTTTCCGGACTTATAACCTCCCTCTCACCAGTGCTACGCCGGAGGCACTTCAGTGGATGAAGCATATGTGGTCTCATCCGAAAATCAAGGAGATTGTCCATGGATTCTACCTGCAGAAAGAGCGTCCGGAGACCACCACCCCCCGCTATGATGATATCTTCGAGGGTAACCCGGACGTGCATTTTGGTTGGTTCCCCGAAGACTGGGAGTTCTCTGTTTAGTATCTGCAAGGGCCAGCGTCAGAAGCTGAATGTTTGCGTATGTAAATGCTGAAAATTAGTGAACCCACAGCCCATCTCATTCTAATAAAATGTAGATAAGAGATGAATAATCTATAGAAGATTGTAAGAAAACCGACGTGTGATGGAACCAGAATATGACATAAAATGTTGTTCGTAATAATATATTGGATCAATATGCTGAGCAGCGTTCGCTATTAGGTAGTTTGTACCATAGTGATACACTGATATTTTAGATATACACCGAAAAAAGGTTCAATGAGAGGAATTTTCCTGCAGCAGGAATTGCATTGGCGCATCGCTGGAGGATGTGGTGTTTAAATTCAATCAAGCCCATCAAACACTTTTATGGCATCTCTCGCAGTATCCCTTGCACTTGCGGGATTTGCTCCCGTAACGAGCCGCCCGTCAATTCTCTCGAAGTTTTCGAATGGAGTCGGTGGAGCTTCGTAGCGTGCGCCCGTGGGTCCCATACAGTCCTCAATCGTATGGACTTTGTCTTGCCTCATTTGATCGATCACTTTGAGCTCAAGTTCGCCCTCAGTGGTAAAACCGGTCACGGTCTTGTTCTTCACAATCGGCTCGTCGTTGGAATCATGAATGCCTCCCAGGATAGCAGGACCATGGCACACAGCAGCCACGACACCACCACGGCCGTAGACATCTGATGCAATAGCCTGCAGGTGCTTGGCGTTTGGGAAATCATAGCAAGCACCATGTCCACCGGCGGCAAAAAATAAACCGTACTCGTGGGGTGATAGGTCACCAGCCTTGAACATCTGACTGTTCAGCTTCTTGTTAAACGGATCATTATTGTTATGCAGAACTTCCTCGTCCTCTCGGCTCAGGAACTTTTTCTCTAACGAATGTTCATCATAAGCGTAGGTTCCAGTTTCCGAAGCAATATCAACGTGGAAACCGGCAGACTGCAACTCATCAAACGGGTGCAACGCTTCTGAGAAAAACAACCCAGTCTTCTTCCCGTCTGGGTAGAAGTGAGGATTGGCGCTGGTAACAGCGATCAAAGCTCTCCGTGGCAACGGCATGTTGTTTCAAATCTTGTCAATTATAATGGTCGTGTGCTTTAGAAAATGAGTATATAAAACACAACACCACGGGCCGTCGAGTCGAAATTTATCTCGTCTGCTCGCCGGAGACTAATGACGGAATGGTGGCAACTTCGATCATTGAGCAACAGAGTATTTGTTGCTACGTTCACGGCCTCACTGTTTTGCCCTTTATATGACGTAGCAGGCGTTTGTTCCATCCAATATGTAAACAAAAGCAGCTTTTCAGCCGTCCTATATAATCCACTTCAGTCCCGGCACCATCTAGGCTGGTGCGTTGTTCGTGTGGAAGAGTAACTGTATAGCGATAGGCGCATAGTATTAGTCCTCTTCACAAAAATCAGGTCAATATCCCGGCTGAACCTCAGCCCACTTTTGCTTTCTCCGCTTGCTTCTCCCAAAGATGAGCAAGGTAATCTGATGTACTAGCCTCATTAATGCTTTTATCCTCTCTCACTTTCAAGAATCTTGGAAACCGAAGGCTTAGACCACGTTCTTCACTAACCAGCCCGATGGCAGCGACGTAGGTAGGACTTAGCGTAATATCTGCAAACGCCATCTCCCATACCTCCTGAGGCTGGAACCACACTTCCGGCTCGCCACAATACTCAACATAGCTTGGCCGTGAAATGATATTATCACTACCTTCTGCATACTTCGCTTTATTCGCTTCGTAGAATTTGTCTGTAAACCCAGACATGCACTTGGTGACAGCTTCAAGAGAACCAGTTTCAGGGTTTCGTACTGCTAAAAGGATAGGAGACCACCATTTTGCTTTTCGACCTTGGCCATGCCATGCGGCGATCGGAATCAGGTCTAGTGTGTCTGAAGAGGTGCTATAATCCTTCTTCACTTTGAGCCAAGACTCGAGCCGTTTATCAGGCTCATATGTTGATAGAAGTGGCCGTTTACGGCTCCCTCGCTGTTTCTCTGAAGTATCCGCAATATCTGTAGGTTCTTGTAGCTCGTCCACCTCAGAACGTAAGTCAGCACCAGCAAGAATGGCGGCATAATCTACCATCTGACCCGGGCTTTCAACCGGTGTATCATCCAGAACTTTGACCATTATCCCCTCACATTTTACTTGGAGAGCATCATTGAAAAAGTTCAGAACAGCATCTGAATCGGATGGGAAAGCATCGATGCTCTTTACCCATGTAAAACGATTTGGAATCTCAATAAACAAACTTCTCAAAAGCTCACGCCTTTCTCGGAACGGCCTGTTAAGTAGTTGTTGCCCGTTCAGGTACATCAAATCAAATGAAAATAGACAAACATTGACTTTGATGCTACCTATTTCCACATTTTTCTTTGCTCGATTCGTGAGAGTTTGGAAGGGGAGTAGCTCCCCAGTTTCTTTGTCAACAGCAACCACTTCACCTTCCAGAATAAAGCTAGAGACATCTTCAGATCGAATTTGAGGCACAAGAGACACTAAATCTGGGTATTTGTCCGTCATAAGTTCCAGATGGCGAGAGAAGATAGAGACCTTTCCCGATGCATCACAATGAACCTGTGCTCTCTGCCCATCATACTTGTACTCGCACGTGAAGGATCGGCTGTGTAGCCTGGCTAGCATTTGCGGGAGATCGCGAGTAATGCTGCCTAGCATAGGCAGTAATGGAATATGCAACGTGATACCACACATTGTGAGAAGCTCGCTAGAAATTCCATATTCCAACAAACACGGGACGATGTCATTGTAGTTCGGATGCCGTGCATAACAAGCTTTGATCGTTTCTTCCGCTTGAGAGTAGATATTCGCAAGGCCGTCTTTGCTCAGTATCGTAAAATCAGCATGTGAGCGTATCGAATAGGTAGCCGTCGGTGATTTCGAGTAGAGAAATGCCCTAGCTAGTGCGATCAATATTGTCGTTTTGACTGCTCCGATTCGAAGATGCTGGACCAGCGTACGGACGATATACCGACTCTCCTCTGCGCCTCTCGTATCCTGAAGCAATTTCTCAATAATTCTTTGCTTTGTCTCCTGGCTCCCCGTGCCTTTACTGCTTGCAATCTGCATTAGGGAATCATACACACTTTGGATAGTCAAGGGTTTCGGTCGTCTGAGTGTAAAAGATTGTTTTTTCTTTGCTTCAAAAGCTACATCACCAGCATCCCCGTGTTTATTATAAAGTGACTTAAGACCCTGGTTATCCAACCCATAAGCCTTTTTCAACGCTTTGGAAATGGCAGATCCCCCTAGACCCAATTCGATAGGTACATATGGTGGAGCAAATGCATTGGTAGATAACCATACTGCGGGAAGCAGGCTCTTGGGGTCACCAACGATAATAAACCGAAGTACGTTCACAAGTATATCAACTATTTTAATTCTGCTTTGCGTGCCATTAACAAGAGAAAATGCGCGGGCCAAAACAGTGTATGATACTTTCCCGCCATCCGCCTCCCAATGAGCGTGAAGTTTTTTAATTTGCTCAAGCGGGTCAAAATCCAGAGGGCTTAGGTCAAACGGCAATGAAATAGATATGGTATCCTCTGCTGCTGAAGAACTCTGAAGAGCTAATATCCCCTTGGGTTTATCCTTGGTGGTGGGCTTGATAACAGTTGAAGTAGAACCATCAGGAGCGTGAATCTCTTCTTGCTGTGGATTTTCCGCAGCTATGCTGCTTGGGATATAAGATCCGGCATCATTCTGATCTTCTTGATTCCATTCTGCTTGTAGTTTCCGAGCCAGCTCCTCGTCCGTAAGCTCAGAGCCGGACGCGAGTCGTGTAGATGGCTGTCTCGTGCTGCTAAAGTACGATGCAATGCTCCGGGTGTTCTGCGACAATTCATTCGGTTCAATTCTCTTTCTCTTTTTCGATGGACTGGGCATTATAAAGTCACTTGCATCTTGTCATCGATTCGCCCAGGTAAATAATATTCGATAGAGAGCTTAGAGTTGATGATTTGACGTTCGAACTTACCAGTTAAATGGACATAATGCCAAGGCTAGACAATTTAGTGACCACCTTTTTGCTCCTCCACAGATAACTAAACAACCAGAACAATATCAACCGTCATTAATTTTCTATTTTACAGTCTACTTAGCTAGCTGCATAGCAAAAATGGCTGAGGACCTGTCAGCTGAAGATGCGACGAGACTTGTCGACTTTGTCAATGACAAGATTCAAAGTATTGATGACCTTCAGAGCCTAGATTCTCTTCTCAACAGCCTCCAGGAGCAGCAAGATATCCAGAGGCAACAGGTAACGGACCTTTCTTTGACTGTGAAATCTTTTGTTAGTTGTATATTAACGATCTGGACTATATATAGCTCCGCGAAGCAGAGGAAATCCTCAAAAGCGCTACTAAAGCCTCAAATGAACATGCGGAGGCTGTTCGGAAGGAGGCAGAGGCATTCCGCAAACACCAGGATGATATAGATCGACGCTTACTTATTGTAACGCAATCAGAACATAGTGATGAGGCAGTCCGGAAATTTGAGGATAGCATTACTAGACTGCAGAGGCTTGATGTGTCGCAAGGGTATTTGGAGCTGTTAAGCGGCATAGATCATTTGAAGTTTGTCCTCTCGAGTATCAAGGCTTCTAAGAATATTGCTGACATATTTCATAGCAAGGAGACGATAGAGACAATGAAATCATCGCCGCATGATGCGTTACGGTCCTACTCAAAACTTCGTTCCATCCAGGGATCTATATCTTCAAGCCAGGAGACAGTCGAGGGAGCTACACCACACCTTCTCGATTATGTGAACAAAGTCTCAGAGAATTTAAAGAACTCCCTCCGAGCGGAATATATTGCTCAACTACAAAATGTTTTGGACAAAATGAAGTGGCCAATGAAAGAGCTTCCTGCCGAACCATTGATCGATGAATGGATGCGCTGGTGTGATCTACTACTAGAATTTCAAGAACCGTTAGTATACATATCAAATTACTCTGTAAGTTAAATATATCTTTCTAAATGATTGCTGCAGTGACCTTCCAAACGACGATGTTGCAGCCCACGTCAAAGATTTCTCCGAACTACCCATTTTACTTCCACTAGAAGTTATGTCGCGGCCACTGGAGCTTCGATTTAAATATCATTTCAGCGGCGACAAGCCTACAAATAGGCTGGATAAGGTATGCTCTGGCTCTTAGAATTGAAGAATGAAGATAATTAGCTACTAATTTCCTTTCTAGCCAGAATATTTTATGTCACATGTTTTGGACTTAATCAATACCCATGCTGAATTCTTTTCCACATATTTACAACCTGTATTGCATAGAAGGGGCCTCAACGGGCCTTCAGTCTTTCAGTCCTTATACTCGGATGCCGTCTCATCATTTATATCTGCGCTCCTACCGATGGTGCGACAGAAAGCCATGAATTTACTGCCAACAGTTTCCAAACACCCGCAAGCTTTCAGTCATTTAATTCATGAACTGATGAATTTCGATAATGAGCTTAAGTTATCCTGGTCTTATCCATCGAACCCAGCACGAGAAAGCACATGGAAGGGTTTAACCTGGGAGTTGCTGGTGGGAGAGAATTGGTTCTCTGAATGGCTACAGGTAGAAAAGAATTTTGCCTTGACCAGATATCAGAATATCATTGATACTGAGGACAGTGGTGAGATTGATTATGACGGGGTAGCCCCAACGGCAACCAAGCCAACGAAGGCGGCTCTCCGGGTTAATGATCTTCTAGAAAATATCACGGAGCTTTACCGGCCATTGTCATCTTTTAGCCAAAAGCTTCGGTTTCTAATTGATATCCAAATCACCATTTTTGACTTGTTCCATGGGAGGCTACACTCTGGCCTTGAAGCATACCTTGCTATGACATCCACAATAGGACGCACCGTTCAGGGTTCCTCAGTTGGCCAACCAAGTCTAGAAGGTGTTTCTGGGCTAGAGAGGTTATGCAGAATATTCGGAAGCGCAGAATATCTAGAGAAAAAGATGCAGGACTGGGGCGACGACGTCTTCTTTCTTGAACTTTGGTATGAGCTACAGGACCGGGTAGCAAGGCAAAGCCATACCGGAAAACCAGTAGCTGGTGTAATGTCAGTGTCGGAAATTGCAGCACGTACTTCATCTTCGGTGGCCAATAACCATGACCACCCTGAGGACGAAACTGAAGGAGCTTTGTTCGACGAAACAGCTACAGCATACCGTCACCTTCGAATGCGGTCCGAATCCATAATTCAAACGACTATCGTATCGAGTGTCCAGGCATCTCTCCGTTCTTATTACCAGGTGTCAACGTGGGCTTCTTTACGCACTTCCTCCGATGAACCTGGTGCCCTTACTACACCGTCACTAGACCTTGTGCAAACTCTACGGCTCCTCACCGCTGATTTTTCGTTTCTTTCTCGCACATTGGCTGTTGCGCCGAGACGCCGTATTGCCAACCATGTTCTCCTTGCCATTCAGACATATATCTGGGATAGCATACTGATGCGAAATTCATTCTCCACCACTGGTGCTGCACAGATTTCCGTTGATGTCTCTAATATCTGTGACACAGTAGACGCTGCTATAGGAGTAAAGGCTGGTGAAGGACTTGCAGCACAGACAGTTAAAAAACTCCGGGATAGTTTATTCATCCTTAACTTGAAGATTAAACCGGAAAAAGTTCAGTCGCCTGACACTGGTGACGGTACGAGAATAGGGCTTGGCTTATGGGAAGCTGAGAAGAGGCTGTTTGCGAATAATGAAAGCGCAAGAGGTGTCTTATCTGAGCTTGGAATAGATACGTTGACTGAAGCTGAGGCACGATCAGTTTTAGAGAGGAGGGTTGAAGTCCGCAGCTAGCTTTCTAAGCACAATAGACAGTTGTATATATTGTGAAGGTCATTCATCTGTCCTGGGAACTTTTTATATATTCTATGTCACAAATCTTATACATATACAATAGAAATGCCGACACCTTTTGAGAGAACAAGTCATAGGCCCATTGTAAATCAACAATGGAAGAGCTCAGAGGATGAAATCCGAAGCAGCTAGAGCTCCTTGAGGTCCATGGCCCATTTCTAGAGGGTTTTTTGGTCGTTGACCAGGGGCTAGAGCCCGGTTAGGATTCACAAAGGCCGAGTTCAACTCTAAACCACGCTGCTTCCTAACCGCTTTGGCGCCCAGCTCCAAAACTACCTCAACAAGACGTTCAACTGTCTCTTTCTTTGTGTGAAGGTTCACAACACATCGGAGATATTTCCCATCTCCTTCGACTTGTGCTGCGGCTGGTGGAGCATAATCAACCATGAATCCTTGCTGGATCAAGTCATCAGCAATCATCGAAGTGATCTCTCCATTGAGCTTTCCTCGCTCAGCTTCATCAAGTGTGCGTCCATCTACCAGCTTGCCTGAACCATGTACCATCTGTTTGAAGGGTGCATAGAAGAAGCATATTTGAAAGCATGGCGGTGGGTTTTCACTGAGGAGAATTAAGTCCGGAGATTCCGAAATAAGGTTGCAAAGGTGCACGGCAACGTCACTAGCGGAATCAATTCGCTCTTCATAGCCCGCCGAGCCAATGTAATTCCAGTTGAGGAACATTTTCAGGGCGTCACCTCGGCGCCCGCATTGTAGAGTCAGATCCCCCAAGTCCCATACTTCAGAGCCATCAGACACATCGTTATGGAATAGGTATCCCGCCGGAAGAGTGTTCGAGCCATGGAACTGTGTCATGTCCGCACCGAGAAGAAAAGAACAAGTCAATGGCACTCCAAGCATCTTGTGAGGGTTTATGGCAATACTGTCAGCCAAATGGGAACCTTCAAGCTTATGTTTCTGGCGGTTGGAAAAGATAAAAGCACCACCCCAGGCTCCATCGATGTGGAACCAGAGTTTATGCTTGCGGCAAATTTCTGCAATCTCTGAAAAAGGATCAAATGTCCCTAGAACCGTTGTCCCAGCGGTGGCATTGACAAAAAGTGGTGTTTTACCAGCATCCTTTGCTTTTTGGATCTCTTCATCAAGCATCTGCGGAATCATTCGTCCCTCGCGGTCGACGGGTACACTGCAAACAGCATTGCTTCCTAGACCGATCATTTGTGCAGCTTTTTCGATGCTATAATGTCCATGAGCGCTCGTGAATAAAACAAATCGGTGATCGCCTGTTCCATTCTTTTTGGTATCCGGAAATAAAGTGTTCCTTGCTACGACAATCGCCGTGGTGTTGGAAGCAGACCCTCCCTGAACAGATATTCCACCTGCATTAGGTCCGGTGAGGCCGAAAAGTTCTGCAAATCGCCGTGTCGTAAGTTTTTCGACCACCGTCAATGCTGGGGCTGACTGGTAGACGTGCACGTTGGCATTTAATGCCCCGAGGAGCAATTCTGCCGCCAGGCCCGGAGCGTTAGGTGACGAGTAGAGCTTGTCCAGAAATCCTTGCTGCCAGGTATTGACGGAATATTTTAGAAGATCATCTACAATCCGAACAAGACCGTCGTGGCCCTGCCCCGAAGTTGTTAAACCTTCCTTGAATACCTCTTTGAGCTCTTCTGGCTTCTTGAAGTCCAATATCTTGGGCTGAGATTCATTGTCCTTTTGTCCTGGTACCAGGGATGCGCGGTCCGCTTGTTCAACAAATCCAACAACACGTTCCTGGACCGAATTCAAGACCTAAAGTCCTCCTTTAGTTGACTATTATGCTAACTTAGGGTTTATTCAAATGATGAAATGATTACAAGACGGAAATGATAAATCATTCATACCCTCAGCTAAGAGGAGACCACTGGGAGACTCACTTTCCGCACTTCTTCTGGACGCTCCATTCTGCTGTAACTCAGACACGAAAGGGCCTCGTTTCAATCAATGGACAAGGCATTGCAAGAAACTGTGTTGGATGTGGATGTGATCTGATATATAAACCTTTCATGTTGGATTACTACAATCTATGGTTATATCACGTGAGTAAAGTCCAGCCAACTAAATTTGTCATCGTTATTACGTAAAGATAAACAGAGAGTGACGTCACGCTCTGCGGCTTTTACTGCGCTTTCAGAAGGCTGCTCGGCGCCGACATGACCTGCTTCTTACCGCGATGGCCTTGTTCCCTGCTGTCTGGCTTCTCCTTTTGCTCGGCTGCTGCCGCATATCGTGCCCTGGCTAGGTCCAGCTTGCTCTTCGCCGGCCCGGCGCTCGAATCGGCAGTTGAAGCTGAGACAGAGCTATCTCGGCCCTTTGCTTTAGACATCCATTCTCCCCGTTTCTTCTTGTACAAATCCATTGACCAATTCCTCCAGACTGCTCTTCCTAAGAATGAATCACGTAGGGTCGATTCGCTAGTCGCCAGCTCTTGTGCCAACCTTTGCTTGATAAATATCAGGTCTGTTGTCGCGTCCCAAAGAGCGTCAGCCACGTGAGAGCCACTGCTATCCAAAGACAATTCACACATCTGTCCGTAAAAGCGAGGTAAGAATTGTCGGCGAAAATGAGTGTTTGATCTGGAACATTTTAGAGCCTCCTGGAGAGCGCGAGATGCTGTTGGGTTCTTTGCAATCTGCATTATAGTCTCATTTGGTGCTGCAAGAAAGCTGGATTGGATCATATTTGCGAGACTTCCGGATGCTTGTAACATGGATTGTGCTAGTAGCGATCCATGGAGATGTTGGGCGGAAACTCCAGACTTTGGTTTCATGGCTTCCTCAGCTACCGGGTCGTCCGCGTCAACCCCTAGGATCGTTTTAAGGCGCGCAACGCCATCATCACCATAAGCTGATTCAAGTGCCTTTGCTAGGGAGGCAGTATCGGCACCCCGGACTATGGAGCGGTCTATTATTGTTTTGATAACGTTGAGTCGCGACCGCTGAATTAATGAAGGTACTTCGGGAAGTATGCTTTCAATAGCTGATTGGAGATCTTCCTTGCTCACTCTCTCCAACACTTTAATGACCACATAAGAAGCTATTTCATTTCGTGCCAAGGAGCCAATTCTTTCACGAATTATTACCTTGTAAAATGTTTTGAAGAATTTTCCGGGTGCAACTCGGACAATTGTTTCTAGCAGACGAGATCCAACTGGATCATAGAACAGGCTGTTTAAGAAGTTCAAGCCTTCATCTTTGGTTTCAAGGGTATCATCCGGTATAAGCCTGCGGAAAACGGAGTTTTTGTCCTTTATTTTTTCTTTTCCCATACACCCAAGCTCTATTGATAGGATGACTTGTAGCACAGGGCTTCCGACAGGATGGGTAGCAAGTGCCTGAAGATAGGTGGAATTTAAACCTGCACTCAGATCTACTATCATCCGCCTTAGGGTATCATTGAACTCGGTAGGGACCTGTCTGCTTTCACGTATCGACAATTCCGATTGAGTGGTCGCCGTTATAGAACCCACATTTTCTTTTTTTCGACTCGCCAATACCCTCGCATTGGATTGATCTGCAAGTGGCTCCCCAGCTAATATAAGTAGCAAAAGTCTTATCGTGTGTGACGCAAAAGGCTCAGTGAGAAGATATCCCCAATTTCCTTGCAGTTCCGAAATCACTCCCAAGAACAATTCCACGGCGGGTTTTTGGTTTAAAGACTCGTCTTGTTCCATATCCCTATTACTTTCGTTTGTGGTCAACCTGTCTCTCTTCTTTTTATTCTTTGGATTCTCCATCTCAGATGTGACCATTGGCGCAGCTCGTATGAATAGACATTCACAGCAATGGCTCGCAAAACGGTGTTGAACCAGGTGTAGGAAATGGCCAGAAAATTTTTCGAATAGAGACTTCACCTGGGTTGAAGTGGACATTGCAATCAATTTTTCCATGAGCCTCGAGCAAGATTGGCTGCAAGCAATCTTTAATTCTTTCCCACTAGCTTCTGCATAAACATTTTCAATAAACAGTCGTTTATCATCATCGTCTTCGAATGAGTTGAGTTCCAGGGTCTGACTCGCTTTTGAGAAATACTCCTGCTCCTCAGTATCGAGAAGCCCGTAAAATGGCGTATCATCCACCCGCTCTTGTATTTGTTCCCCTCCGTGGCCGTGGATATCGAGCGGAATATAATCGTCCCCCGTTGTCGTTTCGTTCTGTTCGTCTGCAGTACGCTGCCGTTTGGGTGAATCGAGCACGTCTTCGTCTTCCCGTTTTCGCTTAGATTGGGACTTCTCTGCCCGACGGCCTCTTTTCTTCTTCTCGCGAGGCATGGCGTCTCTACGGGCGATTTTCCGTGAATATCTTAACGAAAGCTTTACAAAGTAGATTTTTTTGTAATTTTGTAAAATTAAGGTTTCGTGATGATAAGATCACGTGCGAGGATAAGTGAGGTCTGTATTTACATACATTGCGAGTAGTTCAAAGACACGAGCAGGGCCGCAACCTTTCCAGGTACAGATCAAGGCCCTGGAAATTCTGATAAATCATCTGCTCATCCACAAGCTATGTGGGTACTTATGCTCACTCAGTGCCTGGATTTCCTCCTTCCAGAAATTTGAAAAAGGTAAGTTTATTCCCATCAGGGTCCTCTAGAGTGAATTGTCGATAGCCCCATGGCTGGTCCTCAATAGGTTTGATAATCTTAACATTCCCTTCCTTAGTCAAAATATTGTAATATTCATCCAGTTCTGTAGTTCCCAATGCAATCATTGTCGATGAGCGATGGAAGGTTTCATTATTGTCTTCGCTTGTAGCCTCCTGCGTAGAGGATGATAGTTTCTTTTCGAAGAAGTAGATATTGGCATCAGCCTTTTTACCAATAAACAGTGAACAGAATGTCGGGGTACTATTCGCATCGTCGTCTGGATGTGTCCCACCAAGCGTGAAGTGAAGTGATTTTGTATAAAACTCGATGGTACGGGGGACGGAAGTGCTGCAAAATTGGGGGACTATTTTCCAAGCTGATTGCAGGAGTGTCGCCATGGTCTTGGTTGAGTATGGAGTAGTGCTCATGGGATGTAGATGACTATTTGACCTTCTTTGGCTGTTCTCAGATTGATAATATTTGATGTTAGCTCTTATTTAACTAGAGGAAAATTAGGCAGCAATTGATTATATAAATATTTGCCTTTAACATTCCGTTCTCGTAATATCCGAGAACACGGTTTCTTGTCGTATACTCGGCATGGGATTTAATAGTAATGGCCTATCAATCTTCTCAAACTATTCAATCAAATTGTAACAACGGAGTGAATTTTCATGTGCAACCGCCTCAAGGAGCCCACCTACATGTATCCATGAGAAAGCCTGGATATGGTCAAATTATGCTGCCTCAGGGAACTTAATGAAAAATTGGTCAGAGAAATGTAATCGAAAAAGCAAATATCACTCCGAATGCCGTTAATGATATACGTTCCCAGTGTTCCCTTTCGCTTTGGAAAAAGTTGTTGAATTAGTTTAATAGATCCATACTTTCTGGAAGCTTCGATTGCTCTAAAAGGAAGATAGAACGACTGGCTGACTATCTTGGGTCGCATCAGTATCCGGCAGAAGCGATGGAATTAAAACTTATAATTGGTGGCGATGTTGGTTTTCAACCTGGAAACGAGTTCAAGAATGGAAACGTAATAAAGAGCTGATTATGTAACCAAATCTAACTTTATGACTAATATAGCTTATCCGGCGGCTATTTTAAGGGAAAAAGGAACGACATAGAAAAGTCGACAAAGATCATTACGTTGCCATTTAAGAAAACGCATTACTGCCTGTTGTTTGAAATATTATTAAAGGTCATACTATCTATTATATCGATATAGCAGGTTCGATCGTTATAGCAATGCCCTTTGCAGATCCGCGACCTGGGCGGCCATCGAGGCCGAAATCGAACAATTCGCCAATAACGTTTGATCTTCTCTTGAATGTCCTGCAAAAAACAATCCTTCATCCTTTTATTGCCTGGTTGATACCCCTCTGTCTAGTCGCTCAGGCAACACCATATTCTCACCCGTCATTTATCATTACTGCGACTTATGCTACAGGCCTGAGTTTACTCCTCGTGTTATCATACGTAAACAAGCGATTAGCCCATGGTCCACCGCGCAATGTTGATTTTAAGAAGGAGGTTATTGTAGTTGCCGGTGGTGCTAGTGGACTAGGGCTCGCGATAGCCGAAACGTATGGAATGCGGGGGGTGAGCGTTGCAGTCTTGGATGTAAAAGACCCGGCGGATGATGCGGGATACGTGAGATGGGATGAATTCCCCAGCGTAGAATATTATAGGTGTGATATGGGTAACAAGGATGAGGTTGATAAGGTAGCCCGAAAAATAGCAAAGGATGTGCGTTATTGAGTATTTTCCCTTTTCCTTCTAGTTTGTGGTAGCTATACATGTCGCTAACTAACGCGCCTGCGGATACAGCTCGGGAAACCATCTATATTGATAAACTGCGTGGCAAACGCTATCAACGGCCTTCCCTTGCTTTTTCTCTCAGAACAGGCGATTGAATTGACCCTTAAAACAAACCTTTTGTCCCATTTCCATGCGCTCAAAGCATTCCTCCCAGGGATGTTATCCTCTCGGACAGGCGGTACCATCGTCACGGTCAGCTCTGTTTTAGGCCATTTTACAGCAGCCGGCTTGTCAGACTATGTTGCCTCGAAAGCTGCCATGACCGCAGTGCATAGAACTGTGGATGCAGAGATACGGCTGTTGGGAGCGTCGAGGAAGATAAAAACCATCCTCGTCGAAACTGGTCAAATTGCAACATCTTTATTCGAAGGTTTAGAGACACCAAATAGCTTTTGGGCTCCAGTGTTGGAACCGGTCCAAGTGGCGCGGGAAATAGTATCCGTGATCGATAGTGGGGAGGGCGGAGTGATCAGAATGCCGGCTTATGCCAAATTCCTGGGGCTGTATGCTATACTCCCAGTATCCATCGAGAAGCTCGTCAGGTTCCTAAGTGGCATTGATTTGGCTGTTGCCAAAGCGACAATATCAAACTCTGCAGATAATAAGCAGATAACGCCTCTATCAAGCAGCAGCTCTGAAGAAGACGAAGACGAAGACGACGATGACAGCGACAGTTAAACGGATACCCACAGTATGGATATCAAAATTCGGCAGAGCCCAGGAGAACCTTTCTTAATGTATATCCATTCCAACTTTGGTGTTTATTTCTCTGTTGTCAAGACCATCTTCTCTCTCTCGCTTCGCCGGGGCTTCACCACCTTGCTATTCTTCCTTACATTTTCCTCGCGCCTCTTCAATGCTTTTATTTCTTCACCCTTAATTTCGCCCGCTTTCTTGATAGCTTTGGGCAGATGTCGATGGCGTTTGATGCGACGAATTTCAGGCATGTGAGCATATCGGCGTTTCAAGGCCTCGTCATATTGGAGCTTTTGGCGTTCTTTGGCACTCTTGATACCACCTCTGGAGGAAGCATTTGCGCGCCAAAGCCGTATATTACCATCATCTGACCCAGACAAGACATAATTGTTGTCGGGTGTGAATTTTGCTGAAAATACTCTGTATAAAAATTAGTTCATCAGTAATGGGAATCACTGTTTTGGGGAAAGACTGCTTACCGCTGCATGCGCTTTGTATGGTATACATCTCGTGAGTGGCCTTTATCTCGGTTCCACAGCCTGATGGTACGATCATATGATGCAGATACCAGTTCCTCTCCCGTTGGACTAAATTCGACATCCATCACTGCTGCAACGTGATCTTTGAGAACATTCAGGGCCCGATCCATTTTTCTCATATCGAATATGTATATGTTGTGATCTTCGTTTGCGACGGCAAAATTAAAGGCTTCCATGGGGTTCCAGGAAATTGCATTCGAAGCAAGAGTCAATATCACCTTGGAAACTGGGGACGATGTGCGTAGATCGTACATCACGATAGATCGATCAGTTGCAGTTGAGCCTAGGATAGATGTCTCGGTCCGGTTGAAGGCTATAGACGTAATGGTATCTGTACTTGTTGGCCAACTGAGCGTCTCTGAAGGCGTAGAGGACGGCCTCGAAAGATCATATATCGATATCACTGATGAAGATGCGGCAAAGGACGGATGCGTCTCATGATGCGATACACTAGTGAATGCACCCTGGCCAAGGTACGTTGCAAGTGGTGTAGATTCGGCGGGAGTGTTGTACGGATCAAAGAGTTTGACGGTCTTATCGCTGGCACACGAGAGAAGTTTTCTATCAGACGTCCAGCACATCCCCTTCACAATATTTTCATGTGCTTGGACATGCCATATTTCATCGCGCGTGGTCAAGTCCCAGATCTTCACAACACCGTCTCCGCTCCCACTTGCGAATCTTTCGAGGGAAATTGGGTCCTTTGCCATACTGTAAACACCGTCGACATGTCCGTTCCCTAGCTGTGCAATAAACGGAGAAGCAAAAATTCTCTCCATCTTGACCGCATTAAGAGCTCTCGTGTATTCGCGTGCCCGTTCGAATGGGTGTTGTGAAGGATCAATGTTCCGCTGCACCCTTTGAACATTAGTGCCGGGAGTCTGCTGCATAGCAGCAGACCGAGAAAGAGCTTTAATTTTCTAATAAATCATAGTTAGAACCAGAAAGCAGTATATTATCCAGAACTGAACTTACCATGGTGATGTTAGCTCAAGTCTCTCGCGGACATCTTTCGACCATCTTCTTCTTTCAACATTGATAATGTAAAAAAAAAAAAATCCATAACGGGAAAACTATGTTCCGATCTACGTCGAAATCCGCCAGCTTCAACCTTTCGGCCAAAACAAGCAGACAGTAACTCTCGCATCAAGCAAACTTCATATTTCAAGCCTTACTTTACGATAGTTCAGAAGACGAAGCTTGGAGTCGGTTGGCCGGTGTCCTATTCTTTTAATTAACGTGCGACTTTATACTACACTCCGTTACCATGGCGCCAGCTCCCAATGAAGCTGGACGGCTCGCGGAAGCAGAGGCAGCAGCAAAGACGAATCCAGCCAAAGCCCAAAAGATATATCAAGAGGTGATTGCTGAGGGCCCTGGATCCAGTGAAGCTGCCTCTAGAGAGTATGAAGTTGCTTTACTGGGCCTAGGAAAGATTTATCGAGACCAGAAGAAGCCAAAGGAGCTGGCGGAGCTACTCAAAACTAGTAGATCTTCGTTCTCTTCATTTGCAAAGGCCAAGTCCGCAAAGTTGGGTACGTTAATACCATCTGTAAATGGATAACCTGGGTTCTTCCTTTCCGTTAACTCTCCTCTTTCTCCCTGCAGTTCGCCAGCTGCTCGATTATTTCACCGATATCCCAAACACACTTGACATTCAGATTGCCGTCATCAAGTCCTGCATAGAATGGGCTGTATCTGAACGACGGTCCTTCCTCCGACAAAACCTTGAAACCAGGCTCGTTGTGATATATATGCAGAAACAAACATACTATGATGCCCTCACCCTAATCAACTCGCTTCTCCGCGAACTGAAGCGCCTGGATGATAAGCTTGTGTTGGTGGAAGTTCAGCTACTGGAATCGCGCGTCTACCATGCTCTTGGGAACCAGCCTAAAGCCCGTGCGGCTTTGACCTCTGCTCGAACATCAGCAGCATCTGTCTATACCCCACCTCTTCTACAGGCGGGCTTGGACATGCAGAGTGGAATGCTACACGCTGAGGACAAGGATTTCAATACTGCTTTCTCTTACTTCATCGAAGCCCTCGAGGGTTATCATGCCCAAGAGGATACTAGCAAGGCAACCTCTGCGCTACAATATATGCTCCTTTGCAAGATAATGTTGAACTTGGGGAACGATGTCACTACTTTGCTGGCCTCGAAACATGCAATTCGATATGCTGGCACAAGCCTAGAAGCTATGAAGGCCGTTGCCCGCGCACACTCGAACCGGTCATTAGAGGAATACGAGAAAGCCCTGTCCGACTATAGGTATGAGCTAGGCGGCGATGTCTTTGTTCGAAACCACCTTCGAAGGCTATACGACGCCATGTTAGAGCAGAACCTGATCAAGGTCATCGAGCCGTTCAGCAGGGTAGAAATTGCCCATGTTGCAAAGATAGTGGGCTTGGATACCCAGCAGGTTGAGAAGAAGCTGTCACAAATGATCCTTGACAAGGTGATAATCGGGGTGCTCGACCAGGGCGCTGGCTGCTTGATCATCTTTGACGAGGCCGAGAGGGACAAAGGATACGATGCTGCCCTGGAGACCATCGACCGGCTCAGCACAGTGGTAGATCTGTTGTACACTAACAAAGCTTCTTTACTAGAGTAGCCCTTTGATTCGTGAAGACATCGTGTTTTGCAGGCCCTTATTATGCTGTGACTCTTTTCTTTTCGTGGAGCAAGTTCTGCATGCCTCAAGCTATTCAACTGCCTTAATCGTCTTCACCATGTACAGCTTCATATCCATATAGAGACTATTTAAATGGTCAACGCTGTATCTGTAGAACTTGCCTGGCCTCAAGTTTGCTTTAATATATAAAAGTAAGAGTGCAGCACGTGATGTAAAAAAAAAAAAGAAAAAAAAAACCTCCTGCGATCCTTACCACCTTTTTTTGCTCCATCAACCATAAATGCGCGCGCTCGTTTACCAGCATTCCACCAACGCCAACATATTCCTACGAAAGCCTTGCCTACTGCCACCGGTTCGGCCGGCGTTAACTAGGTCGTTTATATTACCGGCGACTCCTCACTGACCGCCAAGATGAACGCTCCCATGCAGCAGCCCAATTATCGTGGCTATCCACAACAGGCCACTTACCGATCTCCAGCCACGCCACGCAGACACGGTCCTGTCCCTGGTGAGTGTCTTACATATGCTTCTTATTAATATTACAACCCTTGCTCATGCCAACACTGAATTGTTCGAATGCAATATCCCTCCTTGACAGAGATTTTCTGACTCTTGAGCACAGGTATGCCAATGCAGCAACACACAGCGCAGGCGATGCCAAATCCGCAGATGCTCGGCCAGCGCCATGCGCCAAATCCAGTTGAAGCTGCCGTAAGACGAAGTCGAAAGCCGACAGATAAGAATCTACCGGACAATGTTGAGGAAATTGTGATTGGGGACGTGGCGCAACAGTACAAACGGCTTCGAGAGATTGAGAAACGGTTGGACGCGTCTATGATCCGGAAGAGACTTGATATCTATGATTCTGTCAATAAAAATGCGAAGAGATACCGGACAATGAGGATATGGATATCTAACACGGTTGAGAGCCAACCGTGGCAACAGCAGGAGTCCAATTCGGAAAGTTCCATGGGTACAAAGTTGGGCGCAGGACGGTACAGAGTCAAAATAGAAGGAAGGCTGCTTGATGATGATGATGCGGATCCTACCATTCCAGATGATAGTGATGAAGAGGACAAGAATGAAAACCGAGAGCGCGACCCTAACGCGATGGAGGAGGACACATCAAGTGCAAAGACCAGCAAACCAGCATCACAACGGAAGAGACTATCTCAGTTTTTCAAGTCGATAACTATCGACTTTGACAAACCGACCGAAAATGGAGTCGCTGATTTGGCCACGATCACTTGGAATAAACCCGAAGTACCGGCTGGTGCTGCGGCTTTACCATCAAGTGCCGATTTTGACACGCTTGAATTCTCCCGCGCTGCGGAGGTCAACCTGAACGTGACCATAAATCTCGTCAGAGATGAGTCGCCTGAACGCTTCCAATTGAGCAAAGAGCTAGCTGCTATTGTTGATACCGACAAAGACACTCGTGCGGGAATTGTAGCTAGAATATGGGAATATGTAAAAGCGAGTGGACTGCAAGAGAGCGAGGAGAAGCGCACGATCCAGTGCGACGACCGCCTGAGAGCGGTAAGTTTTGAGCTTTTAACCTCATATTCAACTAAACACAAGGCTAATGAATATCCTTTTCGTGCAGATTTTTGGCTGCGAAAAGATGTACTTCCCCGCCATCCCAGAGAGTACCGCAGCACATACTGCAACTCTCGAGCCTATCAAGCTACCATATACCATCCGTGTCGACCCTGAATTCCAAAAGGACCCAAAGCCCACCGTCTATGACATTCGGGTCGCAATTGATGACCCCCTTCGGGCCAAGCTTATCTCTCTCACCGGCTCCCCTGATTTTCCCACTATGCTCCGCCATGTGTCCAGCCTAGACGATCAAGTAGCGCTCGCGATCCAGGCGCTGCACCACTCGAAGGCAAAACACTCATTCTACACTGCGATGAGCAAGGATCCAGCTAACTTCATGAAACGGTGGATAAATAGCCAGAAACGAGACTTGGAGACGGTGCTCGGGGAGACGCCACGGCCTGGACAGGGCGATAGAGGCATGGAGTTCAGACGCGGTGGGCAAGGCAGTGCGTGGGATACGGCTGTTGCGAGAGAGTCTGTGAGATATATGCTCGCAAAGCCGCCTCGTGCAACGAGGTAGCAAGTGATTTATAGAAATGGCCCGCTTTTATCCCAGTGATTTTGTTTTATTTTTGTATGATACCTTTGGCCAACTGATGAATATCATCTAATAGTCATGATGAATAATAGGTGCACTTATGATATGCAACCCACACTTCGGTTTTGAGCAGCTAACTTGATTTATTAAAAATAATACTAATAATATTCTTCATTGATAATGGTACGGACAATAAGAATAAGAATTAGGTGTTGCTGGTTAAGAGAGTTGGATCACCATAGGAAACGAAGAGGCACCTCAAGAAACACACCAGGCGTGAGAAAGCAGTATAAAATCCGTATACAACAGAACTCATCTACAGATCCAGTCATTTATCAGTCATAACATACGAGGAATACATCCACAACGAGGGATGAAAGTGAACGTCAAGTCATACAGAAAAGAAGGGGGTGATGTAAACCAATTGACGCTATGGGGGAAAAAGATCAAAAGCATGCGAAATGCATCGTGAATCGTAGAATGAAGGAAAAGCAGGGTCGAGAAGTGAATAAAAAAAAATAGATCAAAGGTTATCAATCCATCTATGCCTTCCGTCTTCGAGCGCCAGATCCACCATTTATTGGAGTAGTTTGTATGGTATTAGTCGAGGTTTTTGAGTTATCTTCTAGGTTTCCAGTTGTAACAGCACTCTCTTTCTGCTCGGAAGTCGCAGCTGCCTCAAGAATGATCGGATTAGCATCTCCTTCAATAGATTCTGGCGGGGCAATCTTCTCTGCGGCTGGTAGATCTTCGCCCCTGAACCGCTTAAGCACCGCATCAATCATCTTCGAAAACCAGTACCAGTTGAGAGAGTTGAGAACCGTGTTGCTGCCAAGGTATGTGAAGGCAAGCCAAAGTGGTGTGCCAGTTGCGGAGAAGTCAGCGAACTGAGCGACCTCCGCATTTGCCTTGATACAGCTGTCGTCTAGACACATAGTCGAGTTCCTAGTGCTGAATACCAGAGAGTAAAAGTCCGCGCTGCTAAGTGGAACGGAACTGTCGGATATATGGAAGGCCTTGTAGATGTCGGAGAACACGGTGAAGGAGTTCCATGACCCCCAGATGAGGCGGCAAGAGAAGAAGACAGAGAGGAGAGTCATGCCGTTGTACCATTGAGCACGGGAGCCGGTCATGTTGAGTTTGTCGAAGAACCAGTGGAAGTTGAGAAATGGGGTAGATAGCTCATAGAGGATGAAGGTTGGTGCGTAATAGTTGACAAATGGTCTCTAAATGTCCAGCGTTAGGTTATTTGTACAAACCATCTATACATAGGGCATAGTTGGAAGGAAGGCAACTTACGTATCCCAAGCTGAATACTAGTAACGCGCTGATAGCATGGAAGAGCATCCCGACACCAAACACGCTCACATGACGAACGCTGATGATCAGATCCCACAGAAAATAGCCCGTTGCCATGGCCTGTATCAAGCCACAAGCTCCGGAGTACCCATACACTCGCTCAACGGGGGTCATACTCCTCCTTTCCTCGTCGACGAATATCACCCATAACGCCAAGGCGGAGATGAGGGTACTCTGCGTGAGGGAGACGACATGGATATCCCAGCCGAGCTTCGTGCGCCTGGAGAAGTTGGGATAGAGCTTTGGGAAGAGCCAGGTAGAGAGCCGGGGTGCGACAACGGACTGGATGAATTGGTACAGGGTAAAGGAGAGGACGACTTCATGGATGTGGTACGGCAGTGTTGGTAGGGACCATCGCTCGGCGATCGGCCTAACCAGATCCTGAAGCCATGGGGGGGGAGGCGGTATCGGGTCCAGCATCGCTGTAGGCGTATGTAGGTACGTGTTTATCCAGACGCAGGTGGTTGTGAAAGAGCCGAAGCTGGCGTTGATCTGAGGATAACGAGCCGGCTTACTACTGTTTCATAGAGCCCCAATCTCTCTCTTTTCAGAACAGCAGCAGGCCAGGACTAGGGGTGTGTCTTCTTATATAGATTGTCTACCTGTCACGGCTCTTTTCTTCCCTTCCTTAGGTAATGATACTATATAATCAGGAGATGTCATAAAGGACGTCGTTTAAAAAAGAAAGCTCGGGATGACTCGCGTGCCTGACCGCGCCTCGTGTTGGTCCATGCGCCCCGCGCGGTTCTTTTTATTTTCTGCCAAGCCTGGCCTAACCGGATGCGGCTTGACGCCTTGGCCGGTTGGGGATCTCGCTAGTCTATTCTAGAGAGAATAGTCACGTGAGCCCCAACACATTTGCACAGTCACGTGGTGGTTTAAGGTGGTCTAATTGGGAAAGAAAGACTACATCTCATCTACAACATAGGAGTACATCTACATGAAAGGGAACAATATTCAAAATACAGGACATAAATGGATTATAAACTAAGTCATAAACAGGCTGCTAACCGAACATCATGAACCAGGGTAAAACAAAAGAGAGCAAAAACACTAGGAAAATACAAAGGAAATACGTTCCATCAAGAAAGCGCTCAAAAAACAATACTCGCAAACATATCATAATTCATCAAGGTTACACGTCCAAGATTCGGCTATAACGTCGTCTTTGCGTCGGTAGGCTATCGTGAATTAGTCATACCAACTCCACTGTCACTGGGCTGATGATAGAGCACCATGTCACCGCCTTTCGCTTCAAGGGCGTGTAAGGTGGGCTCATTGTCCTCTCCGTCTTCGCCCTCTTCAGACTCAAGAAGACTCGACTCATGGTCTTCAGTTTCTGCCGTGTCGGTCACTTCGGATTGCTCGTCGTCGGTTGCATGGCTAAGCTCGCTAGGTTCCTGCCACGATTCAGTGTCTGCTGCAACTGATCCATTGGCGTTAGTAGAGCAGTAACTTGTCCTACGGTCTTGAGATACGGTGCTTCCTGTGACATAAGAAACGCTATCGGCATATGTACCTGTGTAGCTTGTTCTTCTTTCAGTTCCCGCGTCACTCTCAGCCTCGCTCAGACTCTCTTCTTCCTCTCTGAACGACTCGTTCTCCTTGTTTGAACCAAACAGCCGAGTATCGCATGATTGTCGACGGTAGCTTTGGTTTGTCTTGACAGAGTGACTACGTTTCAGGCTGGCTAAGCCGTTGTGTGAACCACTGTACGCGACAGAAATTCGGTCCGAATTTCCTCGGTTGCCGGAAACGTTGCTGAGGCTAAGAATACGGCGTTCATTCTTTGCATTGGGCATAGTTGACCCATTCGCTCGGTTGTTGGTCCGCCGCTTCAGCGCCATTCCAACACTGCTTCCAAGGATGCTGCTACCCTTGGCCATACTGGCTGTCGTTTGGCGAGTCGCTGTGCTGGCTGTACTTGGAACACGCTTCAGGCTCATCCGGTCAGATCCTGAATGGCGGCTAACCAGTTGACTTCGAGCGTGGTCTAATACTCCTTCCACAATCCTCCTCTCAAGGTCTTCAGCACGATCCTCCATCAGGTGGACTTCTTCTTGCCGGATGCGTAGGGCAGTTTCCATTCCGGCAACCTCCTTGGCCAATTTGATCTTGCTTCGTGAAAGATCGCTTTCTTCTTCCCTTAGCTCCCGGATATTTTGAAGGAGTCTCTCCTTCTCCTCTTTGAGAGCAGCCACTTCGGCCTCCATGCACTCTTTTTGGGCCAATCGTCTTTCAAGAGCAAGAGCTGCTTCCATGGCCTCTTCCTTCTTGTCTTCATAATCCTGGATGGTCTTTTTGGACTGTGACGCCATCATTTCACTAACTTCTCGGGCAGTTGCATTGAGTTGTTCCTGCAATGCATTGAGCTTTTCCATCTGAGCAGTGGAGCTGTCGGTGTTAGAGGCATGCGAAATAATCGTGTCGAGCTTTTCGTGCATCAAGGTGTCATCATATTTTTCAAACTGTGGTTCCTTGACTTCTGGAGGAGGAGGGAGAAGTGCTGGTAGAAGTGGTGTGATGGTGTTCGGTAGTGCGCATAAGTCCGTCTTCAAATCTTTAGTGGATTGTTGAGAGTGCTCATAATGCCGGCCAACCACAGCAAGGACTTCCTTGATGGAACTGAGAAGCTCAGGGTGTGATTGAGATATCTGAGTCTCGATGCGGTCGGTAGCTTCAACCGCTTTATCAAACTGGGCTTTCATATCCTCATGCTGTACCTTGACGTCTTCGTGCAGTTTATCCACCTTTCCGAACGAGTCGTCAATCCGGCCAAAGAATGTCTTGACATCTTCATGTAAATTATCTACCTTACCAAAGGACTCATCAACCCGACCAGAGAAAGATTTCATGTCCTCATGTAGGTTGTCCACTTTGGTAAAGGAGTCATCCACTCGTCCAGAGAAGGATTTAACCTCCTCATGTAGGTTATCTACCTTGGCAAAGGATTCATCCACTCGGCCAGAGAAGGTCTTTATATCTTCGTGCAGGTTATCGACTTTCACAAAGGACTCATCAACTCTGCCGAAGAAGGTCTTTGCATCATCGTTCATTCTCTCACAGGCCTCGGTCACGCTCTCACCCATTCCTGCAATAACCAGCTTGAGATCTTCAACGATAGTTTTGGTGCTGGTCAATGACTCGAGATTTTGTGCGTCTCGCTCTTCCGCTGCTGTAAATTTGGCATCGGCAAGGAGTTGTGCATCTTCGTATTTGGTAATAACCTCTTGGAATTTCTTGTCGATTTCTGCTTCAATATCTGCTTTCAGGCCATTGCGGTGCTCCTCTATCTTTGCCAGCAGGGTCGTCCCTCGCTCCTCCTCTTCAAGCTTAGAGGCCTCCCGATCACCGTGAGATCGTTCAGATTCGCGCTTGATAAGCTCTGAAAGTTCCTTAATAGTATCTGCCTTTGCAAATGATTCAGTGGAGTCGTTGATACATTCAAGGATTGTTTTCATATCACCCAGTGTTCCATCGCTTTCGGTGAGCTTCGTTTTGAAGTCTTCTCGGAAGTCGACAATAAAGAGCTTTGCCTCCTCGATCTTCTCTGCAAGGCCGCCATGCTCAACCTTTCGTGCTTCGAATGCTTGGGCTGTAAGCTCGTTCTCAGCCTCCATCTTCTCCTTGAATTCACTAACAGTAGTAGCAAGATTAGCAATCTCATCCTTCGTGGGCAATGTTGCGACATCAGGTAGTACGAGTTCCTCTATCTGGGCCTTTAGTTCAAAGAGCAGCGTCTCAAGATTCTTCACGTCTCCCTTCACCACCTTTTCGGGGTCTTCCTTATCCTCAGGGTTCTGGGCGGTTTTGATGTCTTCAACCGCAACCCAAACATCTTTCATGATACCCTCCAAGTTTGTGATATCCTCTTTGGTTGGACCCTCGATATCGATATGGGTAGCGAACACGCTCATTGTCTCTTTAGTCTCCTTGGCCAATGTTTCCAGGGCTTCGACCTTCTCAGCGGTGACCCAAGTCGCGCTAGCGGAAGGGGCAATCTCATCTAACTGAGTTTTCATGCCCTGCAAAAGTGTCTGGAGGGCTTCAATTTCTTCTTTGCCGACTGAAGGCGTGCTTTCTTCGGGAGCTTCGCGGGCAGCATTGTTGTTAGCGGCCACTTCGTTAACCGTGCCATGGACGTTTTTGATGGCGTCAAGGACTTCAACCAGGTCATTCTTCGTCAGAGAATCCGGATCACTCTCTTTTTCTTTTTCTAGGACCTCACGGGCTGCATTGCTGCTAGCTGCCGCCTCCATGACGGATCCATGCACCTCTTTAATGGCCTCCAGGACTTCTAACAAGTCATTCTTCTTCACCGTATCTGGATCGCCCTCTCTCTCCGGAACAACCGGATTGATGTCGATACGTTCTACTTGTGTCTGAAGTTGGGTGACCAGCGCTTTCAACCCGTCAATATCACCACCGATAGAAGTTTCACCGGCAAGCATGATTTCTCCTCCTCGTGCAGTGCTGGCTTCCTCCATCTCCTTCTGAGACTCGGCTAGGCGATTCATACCAACCTTAAGCTCTGCAATTTCGTCTCGAAGATTTTCGAGCAGCTCCTTATTCTCATTGAACTCGATAGGCCTTTCATGGAGCTTATCCATTTCAGACCGCAGTTGTTCCACACCATTATGAAAAGCGTCGAGGAGCTCATTGGTGTTTGACACAATACTCTCATTACCATCCTTACGCTGGTCATGCTCATCTAAGACTTCCTGCAGGTGACCTTTAAAGGCAGACAAGAGCTCCTCCTTGTCAAGTGAAGAGTCAGGCTTCACTATAGCCATAGAGATGGTCTGACGTAGGTGTTCGAGCTCCTCTTTGATGGTATCGGCAAGTTCCGAGTTGTTATTCTTCAAGCTTTCAGATTCACCGATGCCGCGGATTGCACCAAGAATTTCATCCTTATCACTGGAAGAACTAGTATTCTTTTTCAATGCTTCGCTTTCGCTTATTTCTCGGATAGCGTCAAGGATCTCGTCTTTGTCGGAGGTGGTGTTGGATCGAATGAGCAGATTGCTCAGGGTCTGACGAAGATGCTCAAACTCCTTCTCCATAGCATCAAGTAGCTCAACGGTATCAGACGGATTTCTCTCAGTGGACTCCCGAATACACTTCTCAACATCAGACTGGAGTAAGCGGAATCCATCTTTGACCGTATCAATAATTTCATCCTTCCCAGTTACATCGGCAGCACGGTCAACGTAGGATTCGATTTGTCCCCGCAGAACCTCAAGCCCATCCTTCGTTGCGTCAAGTACCTGCTCGGTATCTCGACCATTTGCGGCGGAATATTCCTTGAACTCATCCTTCATTTCAAGGATCATGCCATGTAGGTGTTCAATTAGCTGCTCTCCAAGGTTGCTAGTTAGAGTACCAGAGGCATCATCAATTCCCAATCTTAGAGCCTCAAAAATATCGTCACGATTGATCTCTACTTCCCTTGGCTGCGCCTCCTGGCTTGCAAGGCCTTCTTGAACCGCACTCAAGATATCGTCACGTTTAATTGGCTCCTGGGCCGCTAACCCTTCCTGTACTGCACTCAAAATATCATCTTTCTTGATGGGCTCCTGAGATGCAAGGGCTTCCTGTAGCGCACCTAGGACGTCATCCCGTTGAATTGGTTGCGGGAGTGATGATAATCCTTCCTGGACAGCACCGAAGACATCGTCCTTTTTGAGCGGTTCTAGTAATGCGAACCCTTCCTGCACAGCGCTCACGACATCGTCTCGTTTTACAGCTTCCTGGAGGGCCATAACTTCCTGTACAGCGGTGACAACATCATCATGTTTGAGTGGTTCTTGAAGAGCGAGTCCTTCCTGTACAGCGCTTAAGACGTCGTCACGTTTGAGAGTTTCCTGAAATGACAGCCCCTCTTGCACCGCGTTCAAGACATCATCCCGTTTGAGCGAGTCTTCCTTCTCTATAACCTGTGGAGCAGGCCATTCAATGCCTTCTAGGCATTCTTGAACTGCACTTAAGACATCGTCGCGTTTGAGGGTTTCCTGGAAAGACAGCCCTTCTTGTACTGCGTTTAGCACATCATCTCGCTTGAGTGAGTCTTCATTCTCCATAACCTGTGGAGCAGGCCACTCTATACCCTCCAGGCATTCTTGAACTGCACCCACAACTACCTCACGGATGCTGGAGATATCGGGCTGAATCTGTGGGGGTTTAAAGTTCTCTAATTCATTATGGACAGCATCAAGGACCTGCTGATAGACTGCCTCTGGGTCAACCGGTTCTTTTTGCGGCTGGTAGGCTTTTAGGCCTTCTGTAAGGCACTCCAGAATCTCCTCCCTCTCGAGACCAAAGTTTTGTAGCTCAATTTCGGGCTTATACGTTTCCCAGGCTTCCCTCACAGTTTCCAGGATTTCGTCTCTCTGTATACCAGGCTCATTTTCTGGAGCAGGGAGTTGTGGTTGGGGAAGAGGTATTTCGTTAAGGGCACGCTTAACAACGGAATAGATCTCTTGACTGTCGGGGATAGGGCGTGCGAGGGCGGTCGAAGTAGAATTGCGCGTACTTTCCTGGATTATATGTTCCATCTGCTGCCGCAGGTCTCCTAAGGCCTCTGTAACGATTTGCTCGATCTCTTCCTTCCCAGGCCCTGAAGATGTCTGATCGCCCAGTGATCTATCTCCTTGGCTTTCTTCCAGCTTCCGGGCAATGTCCCGGCCCATGCCCAAAACTTCACCACGGAGCTCACGAACAAGTGCTTTAACTTCGCTAGTTATACCACCAGCTTCTGCAACACTATGTTTGACACGCTTAAGCATAGCCATCATATCGTCTGACAAAGGGCTTGTTGCTCGAAAGGCGACACTTGAATTTCCTGAGGTATTACGCTGAGGGGTTGGAGAGGTATCCGGACCCGTTGAACTAGACCGAGTACCCCGACCAAGGTCAGGAGTTTGGGTTTTGTCACTGAAAAGCTGGCTTCCCATATCCCCTCTTGAACGGACCAAAGCACGGCTTCCAGAATTCTCCTTGACAAGGTTGAGAATTTCCGACAGCATAGTCGTCATTGTATTATCCTTTTCGGCAGGGCGTGCTTGCACATCTTCCATGAGGGTTAACAATTTTTCTTGTCCTTCTTTTGTGGCCATTTCACGCAACACTTTCTCTAAGAGCGCAATACTAGCTGACCCGTCAGATATAGGTCCTGGGGAAGTGGCGAGATCTCTCTCCAAAGCTGCTGCAAAACTACCGGGGCTCGACATTCGGGGACCCGAAAAACTTTTCCGTGAGCTTGGAGATGATTCATGAGCTTTACTATCAAGAATGAAGCCTCCAGTTGCTGGGTGTATATACGGCGTTCCTCTGCTGGGCGTAGTATGAGGATCTTGGTCAAACATTTTGGAAGAGAGATTGGCCGTTAGGTCTTTGAGGCTCTTTCTAATATCTTCGTCTCTAGCGTTTGTTGCTGCCTTGAGACTGATCAGGTCGGTTGCATTGTCTTTACTACGACGGCTCAACTGGCTCATTTCTTGCTGCAAAGAGGTAGCAATTTTAGTTAAGCTGACAATCTGAGCCGACAAAGCATCGAAACTCTCAGGCGCTCTTGCAGGTTTTTCAGGTTTGGTTGGGGTCGTCTCCGCAGGCATGGCCAAGTCCATTGGAATCTGCATATCTCGCAATGCCAACATCGTAGCAGATGGAGGTGTATTCTCTCCAAGTATAGGCTTGGTGAGATATCTGCTCGAAATTCGGGCCTGCGTCGGAGATTCATGATTTGGCGTGGTTGAATCAATGGTGCCTCCTCCTCGAGTAGGAGTCGTCTCATTGCTCTTATCATCCCGGTCAAATATGCTGTTACGCCTAAATTTTTCGGGTGACGAACGGCGCTCAAGGTAAGAAGCAAATTCGTTACTATTTGTCGCATTTTGCAGGGACTGCATCCGTTTATGATATTGGCCCTTTATCAAGGACTTCTCAGGAGACGGAAGTTTCAATGGCATAGGATTGACCGTGTAAGAGCTTGGGGTTGTTTCTTGGCTTTTTTCTGCCAGTGCAGCCGCAGCAGCTTGTACTGTAGCAGAGGCATTTGGTCGAGTTACAGGACTGTTTGGGCCGCCTGGGTTCAGAGGTAGAGGGGGTGGAGCTCTACCCGGGTCTGCGCTATCCCACCTGTAGTTCAAATCGACCGTTAGCAATCAAAAGGGCCTATATGTGTAGCGGCGCCAAAGCAATTATGAGCGCAATGACATACATTGGGATCAGACTTCGGGATTCAGAGTGGGTGTGTTGATGTCTGAGAACCAGCTCTCGGTCTCTATTTTCTTCTCTGTCGTTTGGTTGCATGATGAGTCGTAATCGCTTTTAATCGTAACGTTCGTTGAAAGGCAATAATAAATAAACAAAAGATTCTCCTAGGTATAAGCGTAGCACTCAGTGTACCATGTCTCTGCAACCTAGAGGACGGGGGAGAAAGGGCAAAAAGGGGTATCGCGAGCGTAGTGATGAGGGTATTCTTCTGTCCAGACAAGTCGGACACTGTGCCAGAGACTCCAAGTGTATGTAGCATGAAAAAAAAAAAAAAGGTAAAGAGTTGTTGAGAAGACGGAACAACCTTGCACGAAAGAACGGTGGAGATGTCTTCTTTTTTCAAGGTCAAAAGCTGTTGCCGTCAACAACAAAGTAAACAAACAAGGATCCTCGCGGTTACCGGAGCGGCAGCGCTTGGCACGACAGGGCAGGGGCTTAGCCTAAACGGGAAAAGTCTCGTAGAAGGTTAATCCGGTATCGGATAAACATGCCATATTTGGTTTAGCGTCGTCTCCGGTAAGCGGACCAATCATGGGGCCGCACACAACGAAAAGAAACATCGCACCAAAAGTTGAACTTCACCAAAAAAACGCCTGAAAGTCATCTCCAACTCTCTCTCTCGACAACCACATTTTTTTTTCGACCAGCCCACGTTCGTCGGAACTCCTGGAAAATGAAGTGTACGTTAACCCGATACCCTACGTCTATTCTCTAGCCCTCATTGATGAGCTCTTCCCCATTGATCGAAGCTGACGATGTGTGCGAAATAGTCATGAAAGTGGGCCGTGTGGCCATCATCACCAGAGGCCGATATGCCGGAAAGAAGGTACGATGATAAGTGTTTCTATTGTATTTTTTCTGTTGAGATATTGGGCTCTGCGCGTTGGATTATGGATCTGGAGCGACAACTCCGATTTATGTGGATGGATTGCGATTATTGAGGATCTGGAACACGATCGAGAAATTTTCCCACACAGCGTCAACGCAAAGGCAATATCGGCACCTAAGCTGTCTCGCGCATTCTATTTCCCTAAAGACAACGCCAAATACATAAAGAAAAAGAGGAGGACATTTTGATTCTGCGCAAATAACACATGATGATAGCTTAGTGCGTGAACGAACTGACGAATATCTCTGTTTAAAATCAATAGGTCGTCATAGTTCAGCCATATGACGCTGGCTCCAAGGCTCACCCATTCCCCTACGCTCTCGTTGTCGGCATCGAGCGATACCCATCCAAGATCACCCGACGAATGGGCGCCAAGAAGGTCGAGAAGCGAAGCAAGGTCAAGCCATTCATCAAGACCGTCAACTACAACCACCTTATGCCCACCCGTTACACCCTCGAGCTCGAGGGCCTCAAGGGTGCCGTCACCAACGACACATTCAAGGAAGTTTCCCAGCGGGAGGAGGCAAAGAAAACCATCAAGAAGGCTCTGGAGGAACGATACACTAGCGGAAAGAACCGATGGTTCTTCACCCCCCTCAGTATGTTTTTCCCCATTTGAACGTTTCTACCTTCTACCAAGAGGAACCCGCACTAACGATGGATCAATAGGATTCTAAATAAAACGTTTAATGGCCCCTTTTTGTCACTTATATCTTCTCAGCATTTTTCTCCCCTGAGCTAGGATGGTTCTAGTTTATGACGAATGCTATTTCTCGTCTCATGCATAGATACCAAGTTAAATGGAAATCCAGTGCATAGCAGACAATCTATCGGAATGATAAGATGTCGGTTGTCTAGCAAAAATAAAAACAATAACAATGACGCTTGAGAAATATTCCGTTGGACTCATACTCCGTCTACGTTGACAGTTCGTAAAAGAGGAAAAGATAAAAAAAATAATGTCGTGACAGTTTACAGTCACATGCGATGTGGTGTGCTACCACTGCTGCCTCGAATCGTAGTGCGAATGCCTTGCATAGTACAAACATCATCCAACGGCCGATCATCCGCTCTATGCAGTGGCCACCAGGTGTGGGCTCCCTTTTCACATGCTGGCTGAAAAGTCTCGTCGACCTCTAAGAATAGTTCCATCTCGGCTGCATCCGAGCAGGCACGCTACTTAGAGCTTTAATGGAACTATCTTATCACCCAGTAGAAGAGATATCAGATAGAAAGCCACCAGAACCTTGAAAAGGCAGCACCAGCAAAAGATAACGGCATCAGCCAGTATCAGCTCGATGAGAAAAATGAAAGGAGACACCACACCCATGCATCCAGCGTTTCATACTCTGTATCCTAGATGCGACTCGGAAAGATAGTGCGGCTTGACACGCCCAATAGAACGGTCTGACAAGCAAGTATGCATTCCTAAACATAGCTCGATTTCTATATTACAAGCTTCCGTCTCCCTATCTCCCTCCCTGCCTCTCTCTCTCTCCACCCGTCAAAATGCAAGAGACAAGGACCAGTGCATCCCTAACGCTTCCGGCGGTCTAGCTGGTTAGCTTAGCTACGCTGCTTGTCCACGCTTTCATTAATGCACAGTAGATCCGCAGCTAGGATGTAGATAACTGCCGGGCCGCCTGTTATCAACGAAACACGATAGACTCATTCCGATGCATTCTTGTCCCATCTGCAAGTTCAGGTGTAAAAGGCAAGCGGTTACTAGCTTGTGAAGTGCCGTAAGATATTCGCCTCGTTCCTTGTCCTGGTGGCGACCGGATTTCTCCTTCTTCTCCTTCTTCTCTCTCTTTCTCCTGCTTTTGCTCTTGGTTGTTTCGATAAGATAGAAAAATCTCGCACTTTCACATGCCAAAGGTCTCAGCTTGGCGAGAACCAGCTGGAAGTACCGATACTTCTTCCCTGCATGTTTCTTAGGCGTAGGTGTGAGTATCAGTACATCATAGCATGGCCACAGTTACGTACCTGGTCACTTTCACATGTGAAGAACGCATCTAGAAGGTAAGAGAAGAGAGAGAAAGAGAGAAAGCATCCTGGGCTTTCTCGCGACTGATTCGCTGTATGGAAGACTCTGACTGCTCCTGTTTATGAGTTGATGAGTTGTATGTGTGAGTCGGAAAGGTCGAACGCCAGATAAAAAGCTTCTGGCCTCCCCTTCCCACTTCCTTGTTTTCTTCTGCTCTCGCTCCCATAACACCAACTCGACAGCTCATCTTCATCTCTTCATTACTCTCAAGTCTCAAGGTAGGTGTTGTTTTGTCAGTCTGTGTGGTCTACTACCAACTAACAATGCTCCTAGTTACGCTTCCATACCATATCAACACGTCATAATGGGCGAACAACCAACCACCAATGGCACCTGGCCTTCCTCTCAATTTATCTCCGTAAGTGCTGCCTTATTTTCCCAAACGATGATGGTATGCCACTAGCTAACATTCATATAGCATCTCATCTCTTATCCCTTCATTGCAGACTCTCTTGAGTCTCTGAAGAAATCCCCCTACGGCCAAAAGTCCCTGGAGTACGCCGACAAGAGCTTCTCCCAACTCGAGCCAATCTTCCCCTACTTTGCTAAACCATATGGCTTCGTGGCTCCATACGTTGAGAAGGCTGATCACTTGGGCAACGAAGGCCTGAACCAGGTCGACAACACCTACCCGAAGCTTGTCAAGGCCACCGAAGAGGTCAGAGAAACCGTGCATAACTACTTCCGTATTGCTGAGGATGGCACCAAATACGTTCGATCTACCTATGACTCTGAGTGCAAGTTGGCTCAGGGTAGTCCAATGGTGTCTCATGGCAAGGCTGCCGTCTCTACCGGATTGATGGTCACATCTCACTCCTTGCTTTGGCTCAGAAACTTGCTCGTTCCACACAAGCAGGAGGCACAAGAGAATGGCAATGGCACCGCCAAGTCTTCCAACTAATCTTCTCACAATGAATCCTTCTGCACTCGTTGCTTCCTACATAAGATATCCCGTTAAACTAGCACCAGTCTGCTAAGTCTAAGCTTGATGACTTCCTTTTTTTTCGTTTTACAGTATGGTTGGGAAAAAGTTGCTCTGCCCTCTCTTTGTCATCTTTCCTTTGTGTGTTTCTATATAGGGTCTACCCTTCTCTTAATTATATCCCTTCTTCCTCTATTAGCTCTCGCTGGGCTGGCCTACATTTTCCCTACTCGATGGAGTTCACTACAACACCTCATTTAATAAACAGTTACTCCTCTCTCTGCCCTGTATTTATGGAATTTCCTAGTCTCTGTGCTTAATCAAATAAGAAGAATTTGAATATGTCGTAAACTTCCTCCCCCTTTGACTTCCACTTCTACTCTTCAAAAGCACAATATATACATCGACACCCATTGACATGTGCGTGGCTCCACCCGGGACGCTTGAGCCTCCTCTGCTTTTCCATAGGGCAACTATCATGTCAACATTGTAGCCACATTACCCGGATCAGGCTCTTCCTGTTTTTATATTCCAGGATTGCGCCCCATATAGCTTTGTCTTTTATTTACATTGAGACCTTAGTATGAAGCTGGCAAGGCTTCTTTTCAAGGCTTATGTATGAGACTCATCAATGTGAAACGAACCCACAAGCCCTGCCACTGATCTCCGTAAATTAGTCGCTTTGCGCAATGGGGGCATCGCCTCTCCTTCAAGCAGCCTCGATCTCCTTGATGTACTCTGTACTACTATGTATGTAAACAGTGCCTTGGCTTTGCGGCTACGCTTGTTTTGAGCCGCGGACCACGTGATATCAAGCTTGGCCTGGCACAGGACCCATAGCCAAGTAATAACAGCAGGAGAATGGCGGAGCATTACACTCAGGTGGTTTGAGAAGTGGCATGATGGTTCAGAGAAGGATTGAATTGAAGTAGAATGTTTCGTATGAGGTCACAGTACAGCGAGCAGGGCGAAGGAAGCCATGTTCTCCAGTCTGATGTAATCCTGCGTTGATCGTTTCAAGCCAGATCATCCGGGATAACCGGAGCCTCTGTATACGAAATATCTCCTTTCCTGTGCTAGACGCCATCCATTCCAGATGCTGGCCGCTACCGTCCTATAAATTATCAAAGTCAGCCAGCCTTTCGTCTGGCTGGGCGGCCTCGTGTTTGTTCAAGCACCCTATAGACAGTTGTTGTCATCCTTGTCTGGTTCAATAGTCCCCTCCCCAGGCAGATTTGATCGCTAAGCCGCAGACCCATGCGATAGTCCCTCAAAAAGCGATGAGGAAGCTGCCGGGCGTCGCTCAGGAGGTGGAAAACCTGCACTGCCTTCCTCCATACGAAGAATCAGCAAATCAGATGTTCGTCTGCGCTGTTAATGTTTGGGGTGTTGCTGCGGTCGATCTTATGTAAGTATATGCCAAGCCGAGTTTGACGGATTAAAGCGGGGCGATAGCGTTTTAGGTTGTCACGTGTTGGGATAGCTTGTTTGGCGGTTTATATCATCAAAACTACATAAAAGAGGAGTTGCACCCCCAGCATTAACAACCAGCATTCATCACGATATCTCGCGCTACATCCGTTACCAAATCTCGCCAAGTTACAGCCACGATGTCTGAAGGTGTAGCATCAAACATACAGCAACAGCCAAACGGAAAGGCACCAGCGATCCAGCGTGATCCTCAGCAGCAACAGCAAGGAGAACCTGAAGCCTCGGGTGTCGGTTTTCGTCCTCACCATGATCTCATCAGCGTTCAACCTGCTCGTCTAGATGATTTACAGCCTAGATATGCGCAGGTACTTCGGCCTGATGAAGATAACCCTGCTGCCCACAGCTGGTACTCTAGCTTCAGTATGTATATACGTGTATACTTCTTTGTGTACAACTTCTCCCGACTAACTCGCAATGTAGTGCACGGGCTGGGAGAGATTATTGGCAACTTGGGAGCAATACCTTGCTGCATCTGCTGCCCTAATCCCTTCACACCTGTCAACCAAGGTCAGGTTGGACTAGTGACCAAATTTGGTCGTTTTGAACGAGCTGTCGACCCCGGCCTTGTTAAGATCAACCCGCTCAGCGAGAACTTGACCACTATCGATGTTAAGATCCAGATCGTCGAGGTCCCCCGTCAAGTCTGTATGACCAAAGACAACGTTACCCTTCACCTGACTTCTGTTATTTACTATCAAATTACCTCTCCCCATAAGGCTGCCTTTGGCATTACCGATATCCGTCAGGCATTGGTTGAAAGAACACAAACCACTCTTCGCCATGTCGTTGGCGCTCGTGTGCTACAAGACGTCATTGAACGACGTGAGGAGCTTGCCCAGTCTATCGGGGAAATCATCGAAGGTGTTGCTGGTGGGTGGGGTGTCCAGGTTGAGTCCATGTTGATCAAGGATATCATCTTCAGCAATGAGCTCCAGGAATCTCTCTCCATGGCTGCCCAGTCCAAGAGAATTGGTGAGAGTAAGATTATTGCTGCTCGTGCAGAAGTTGAGGCTGCCAAGGTATGTTCCCTTCATTAGTTTGTAGTGATGCAGAGCCAGAGCACTAATATGTTCAAATAGCTTATGAGAGCTGCGGCCGATATATTGTCTTCTGCTCCTGCAATGCAGATCCGATACCTCGATACCATGCAGGCAATGGCCAAGAGTGTAAGCATATTTCTTTATCCTTCCTGTATAGAGGTTTAACGACTAATTTCTATTTTCTATTCAGTCCAACTCCAAGGTTATTTTCCTCCCTGCTGCCAATAACCAGGCCGTTATGCAAGCTGCTCTCGCCAACGAGGCCGGAGAAGGATCCAGCCGTCAAGTCAATCCCTTCGAGCAGGATGGAGGCGACGGTTTCCAAACCGCCATGAACGCCCACGTCGTAGAGAACATCTGAACAGTAACATGAGCAAGAAATATGAGTGAGAGAAAGTGTTTTCACTCCTCTCGCCTATACCATGTACTTGCTCGATTTTAATGACTTATCACCTCTCTTGTCTGTTTTTGTGATACCCTATTGCCGTTTCCTTTCTTGAGTGACAACTGCTTTTGATGCTAATGTTGATGTTTACTTTGATGCCTATTCCCCTTCTGCAGTCAGTTTTCTCCTCCGTGCGTCTTATGGGCTAGGCAGGACAAGAGGGTCTCGAGTAATCTGTTTTTGCAAGCTAATTTTCCATTTTTCTAATGCAGTTATTTAATGAACTTTGCTATAAAACTACACTGTACCGTCGATATTGCGTAAAAATTATACATCTAAGGGTTTAAGAGGTATCATATCACCAGGATTCCATCCACGATATGAACAAGATTTAAGTAAATTACAATATACACTCTCAATGGGTCAAGCAACTAAGCTATTCCACCGACCATCTGTAACTGGTTAGCTTCCGCCGCCGGTCCATGAAGCGCATGGCTGAAAGTTGTACTCGAGGGATCCTCAAGAAGAACGTCTAGATCTTCAGTATCAGGCGGAAGTCGAAATCCGTTGCCTGGTCTTGGGTATAAACGGTGTTCTTCCACCTGTTCCTCATCGCTAAATCCACCATCGTTCTCATTGCTATCACCATTACTTGTGCTAGCAGGTACGCTCTCGAATGGCCGTTTTGATGATATCGGAGTAAGTGTGGCGCTAGCCGTAACATGCCTCGATATTTTGTTTTGTTGCGAAATGGTGGCGGATCCGTTCAAATTATTCGCAGATGCTGTTGTCGAGTTATCAGAATTAAATGATGATGCATTAAGCTCATTCAAGTTTGCAGGAAAAATAGGGATATCTGGCCTAGATTCGGATATATTGACCAGTAAATTGACCAGCGCGGCATGTGATAAACTAGAAAGGTAGCTCTTCTTCTCTGCTTTGCTGAACTGAGAGCTTCCAAGCAAAGGAGTTTGTGGCGCACTTGTTAGCATCGAGGGCGAGGTAGAAGGGTGCAAACGTGTGAACCCAAGTTGTTCATTTGCTTGCAGGACCGGATCAAGGGGAGCGTCAACCGGACGGCATTCTCTGCAAAACCACTCCATTTTCTTTACAGAAATAACGTCTTCTCCAATAGGCGGGTCATGACAAAATTGATGCCAAGGGGCATTGCATTCATCACAAAACACGATCGCATTACACTTCGGACTATGCCCTCTATCGCAACGAAGACATACCACGTTAGCTTCTTTGCCTTTGCGATACACTCGCCTCCGCTTCCGTGGTGGTGGTGGTTGTTGCTGCTGCTGACTCGCATCGGGACTTGCGGATTTCGGTTGGTTCTGCTCCGGAGTGAACATTGTTGGCCTATGGATCTGACGGCCTGATTTCGTTTGTGTGGTCGTTAGCTGTGCATCAGAAGATTCATCAGAGTCCGAATCCTCTGCTTTGATGACCCCTTCATCATCGTCGTGGCGACCGGATTTTCGAGTATTCCGCGATTTCGCACCCCCCATTGTTCTACGACGTTGTGGGGCCGGCTTGGAAGGGCTCGTCTTTGGTGTCGATGCAAGGTGCACTTCGACCCCTTCAGCATTTCGAACGGCTCCTATAGTAGCGGTAGCAGCAGCAGTAGTAGTAGTAGCAGTTATAGATGGTGATAGCACGGCTGCAGGGGACGGAGCAGGTGCGATATTTCTCCACCCCGTGAAAGAATTTGGATATTTTAACGAGAGCTCAGATTTAGTCGGTGGTAAATTATATTCCTTTGACTCAATATTTGGAATGTCACCAGTCGCAATCACTGTTGAGCTGAAACCCTCGTGAGCGGATATCGACGACACCGACGACAGTTCGCTCGAACTGGATGCATAGGTCATAGACGGTATGGGAGCTTGATTATCCATCCCTTCCTGTGAAAGAATGATAGCCTCAGTCTGCATATCCGATACCTGCGTATTCTGTGTCTCATTGATCATGTTTGAACTGGTATCTGTCGTCAAGGGCACCATGGGTGGCGGGGGCATGGCAGCGCATTCGGCATTCGAGCCCATGGTTATATGATAAAATCAGTAAGCAATGTAGAGCCTAATCAAGCCCAACAGCGTTTTTATCCACATTAATTGAAGTGATAGGCCAGTTGCGCTATATGTACTGTGCCTTCGAGGGTCGGAAATGTGGCTCGAGGGCGAGAAAAGAAAAGGGAAAACTTTGAAAAGCCGTTCACTGTACTGGATATTGCACAGATTTCGGGTTATGTAGAAAGGATGTCCGATGAGAACAACAGATAAAACATGTTCTATCTTCTCTTCAGTTTAGTATGATGTATGGCATGAGAAGGAGAATTATCATGTCTCTTCAGGGCAAATTTGACTTGAAGGCCCAGTGTTGTCACGTGAACAGATATATCTAAGGGGCAAGAAGAAGACGAAAGGGATATAAATATTGAGTGTATTCTTCAAAGATACAAGTATACTTATAGATATCATTGACTAAGGAAATCTAGGCTGTATGTCTATAGATTTTTATCTTCTACGTAGATGTCGGTAAATGTTAAGCCCCTAAATCTTGAAAAGGTACCCTATGAAACAACCCCGTCTGCCTTTAACTGGGCTATCCTTTCTTTACTGTAGCCCATAACACTGGATAGTACCTCATCAGTGTGTTGCCCAAGCGTTGGAGGTGGTGATCTAATACCCGGTGTAGCATGAGAGTATTTAACCGGAGTATTAACGAGTTTGATAGGTCCGCAGTCTGGATGGTCGACTTCCTGTACCATTCCTCGAGCAAGTACTATGTAGATATGTTAGACAAATTAATCAAAACAACCATGTGCAGCAACTTACCATGAGAATGGTTTAGAGCACCCTGTATATCGTTTACGGCTGCATAGGGCATACCGCTGCCTTCCATGATATCCAACCATTCGTTGGTTGTCCTCTGCTCTGTGAGGTCTTCAATGAGTTTGTCGATGATCTCCCGATTTTTAACACGCAGGGCATTCGTAATGAAACGAGCGTCTGTCTTCCACTCCGGATGACCCAGTCTATCACATAGAATACCGAAGAGTCTGTCGTTTCCGCCGCCAAGGAGAATGTCGCCGTCTTTCGTTTTAAAGCTTCGGTATGGAACGATGGAAGCTGCCAGTTGGGTCAGTAACTATGAATTTGAACTTAATTTACTTGATCTCAACTTACGATGAGCTGTTCCCCATCTTCCAGAGTCCTTCTTCCCACTAATAAGCGCCGAGCTTGCAAGGTTTGTTAGCGTCGCTATTTGGCAATCGCTCAAGCAAGCATCAATGTGTTGACCCTTCCCAGTTCTACCCCGAGCAATAAGTGCGGCCATGATGGCGTTCGACGTATATAGACCAGTTGTTAGATCTGTTACCGCAACTCCAACCTTTACTGGAGGCCCGTCTCTCGATCCGGTAATATGCATCAATCCCATCTCCGCTTCAACCATCACGTCATAGCCAGCACGTTGGCTGTATGGTCCTGTTTGCCCGTAGCCAGTAATGCTAGCATAGATCAATTTCGGGTTTATAGCTCGGAGGGACTCGTAGTCCATTTGATATTTCTTCAATGAGCCGGGGATATAGTTCTCCACAAACACATCACTCTCCTTTGCAAGCTTATGGAGGATCTCGATGCCGGACTCATGCGCAAACGATAACCCAACTGACTTTTTGTTTCGGTTGACCTGTTTGCACAATTAACAGCTTCATCTCAAGCCATGTCAAAGTTTCACATAGCTTACAGCTAAGTAGTATGCACTTTCCCCCGGGCCTTCTTTTGCATCATCTGTGTATTTTGCATATGGAGGGCCCCATGCTCGTGTGTCGTCTCCTCGCGTTGGATGTTCGATCTTGACCACCTCCGCTCTATTCAGTTAGACAAGATATTGTCAGCCAAATAAAATAAAACGCTTCCTAAAACTATGAGAACCAACACTCACCCTAAATCTCCGAGTATTTGAGTACAGTAGGGCTGCAGTTATACACCACCATCAATTCCATGTTCGGATCAAACAGAATATGCTCACAAATCATAGCAAATATGATCAGCTTACTCCAGCAAGAACCCTAGTCATATCCAAAACCCGTATACCGGCTAGAGGAAGCGTGCCGGCTGAAGGGACAGCAGTCGAAAAGCCCCTACATGCTGCTGTGATAGCTATGTTGTTGGTGAACCTTGGGAGCTTATCCACCTTGACAAGGCGACGTAGAATACGGTACGACTTCATCCTGCTCTCATAAAATATGAGATGCAAAACTCTTTCGTTGGTTTAGGTAAATTGATGTTTATCAGCCCCGAACCTGTATTCATGCAGGTAGAACGTAACGTCCACAAAATCGGCGGTAAAGTCAGGCGGCTATTCAACTACCGAAAACTGCATCAAAGACGCAAGCGCGGCCCCACTTCCGACCGCGGCGTCGGCTCCCCGACAAGCTTGTACCTTTTTCTTCATTTGCAATACATTTGTCTGTTAAACAAGCAATCACTGGCCCATCATGTTCACTGGTCTGGTAGAGAAAGTCGGCAGTATGTTTTCCCATTTACAGTGGTGATGTACAACGCTAACTGGCTTTTTCCAAGCTGTCACGGCGCTCGACCCCCAAGATGACTCCTCCACAGGCGGGGGCGGGACATCCTTGACAATTTCAGATTGTGAAGAGATACTTACCGACACCAAACTCGGGGATAGTATATGTGTCAATGGTATGTTTTCTCCGATGCCAATAGGAAGAAAGATTTTACCAACAACTAACTGAAACACCCAGGCACTTGCCTGACTGTAACATCATTCGACAAATCGTCATTCAAGGTCGGAGTTGCCCCTGAGACGCTACGACGAACAAACCTAGGGTCTCTCAAGGCCGGATCACACGTCAATCTTGAACGCTCTGTGCTAGCTACTACTCGAATGGGAGGTCACTTTGTTCAGGGTCATGTAGATACCACCGCAGAGCTCCTTTCAGTCACACCGGATGGCAACTCCCTAATCTTAAGGATGCAACCCAAGGACAGGAGCCTTCTGAGATATGTTGTAGAAAAAGGATTCATTGCTCTTGACGGCACTAGTTTAACGATCACCAAGGTTAAAGATGGTGAGGATGGTTGGTGGGAAGTGATGTTAATCGCCTACACACAGGAAAGGATTGTCACTGCAAAGAAGAAGCCTGGCGACACCATCAACGTTGAGATTGATTTGGTCGGCAAATATGTTGAGAAGACGGTGCAAGGGTACTTTGAGGGGCAGACAGGTGGGGATTCAGCTGCACTGGAAAAGATGGTTGACAGGCTTGTCGAAAAGAAGCTTAAGAGTATGGGAAAGGCTTGATAGAATGACTGGGCTTAACCCTACGTAATGGTTATAATGAGTCTGCATTACAATACAAATGAAAAATCTCAGCTTTACGTCTTACCATATATAGGGTCAGTCTAGGGAGAAACCGAGACTGGAATAGTAATCCACGCAAGTATACCAGCTCAACTGCTATATTCTGAGCTAAGATATATTAGATTATCATCATTGTTGGATTGCTGTAACTTTTCAAGGTGTCAATATTATATACAAAGGGTATCCTTAGTGATAAATGATTGAGAGCAGGATAATCTAAGCTTCCTCTTCTTCCATTTCCACATCCTCCTCCCCCGCTTCTTCTTCCTCTTCTTCTTCATGGATGAAATCTTCGCTGTCCCAATTATCTTCGTCATCAATTTCATCAGAATCATCCTCCTCGTCATCCTTACCTTCGCGTGGCGTCTTTGCCTTTAAGGCTTTCTTCCTTTCGACGTTCTCCTTTTGTATCTTCCTCCTAAGTTCTTTTTCTTTTCGCTTCTTCTCCCAAGATGCGTCCAATTTCTGGGCTTCTTCTCTCGTCTTGGTCACATAATCGTGCCACATAACTCTTCCGCCACATAGTCCTTCTTCTACCTTCATCAGCTTTAGTTTCATGCGAGGCCCTAATTCCACCAACTTCACTGCCCTCTTCTCAACATTTGATCCGGAGCTGCGGCCTGATTTGGACCCGCCTTCCTTCATTCGTTGAAGGTCCTTTTTGTTCAAAACTTTCCTAGTTGTGGATTCCAAAACTTCTACCTCAGCGTCCGTGTCCATCTCAGTCTCGCTTGCAGATGTAAAACCAGCATCACCGCCTGCGCTGAGTAAGTAGTCTGCAACATCATTTAATTTGCCCAGATTTGGAACAGCTTTATCCTTCTCTTTACCACGGTATTCCTTTGGGTTAAGCCGCCTTATCCTCTTAGATAAGTCGATTCGTTTTGTTGTGATAGCATAGTGACGTAGGTTTATAATAAAGGATTCGTCCGTGTCCTTTTTTGATGACTGGTCTCTGTCGAGTAACATAATACGACGAATTGAGGCAAGGGGTGTCGTTTGAGGGGAAATAGGAGGAAAAAGGGATTGGAAAACCGTGGTGACAAGAGATTCTAGATGTTTTGGTATTTTCTCAGAAGATGCTCCCTCTTTTGAGGACATAAAGTTGTTCATAACCAATAGCGGAGGGGTTGTGTGGCTCTTCCCTAGGCCTCTTGGTCGTTTCAATGCTTTTATGACATCTTTGCATAGGGAATAGTTTTCGATCCTGAAATTTAGGGTGGGGCCGCGAGGTGTGAGGGCAATGCGAAGATTCGAATTCCCATTGCTTGATTTAGAAAATAGTAGAAGGTGGGTGACTCCAAGAGGGCCAGTCATGACGGTATAGTCTTTCAATCTGTTCTTTGTTCGCTCCTGTTGAAATTATCAGCATCTAAAGTGGTAAAACATTGAGCTAGCGTATAGTCCTACCTTCAAACGACTTGCGGTATCTGGCTCCATCATTGATCGAACATCTTTAGCCAATTGACTCATGCTTGAGCCAACCTGTCCTGCACCAATTCGAATTACCATGCTCTTAGGGGACCTGTTCATTGAGGCAGCTCCATTCTTGGTGGCCGGAGCGCGGGCCTGCGGCGGAGGGACATGAGTCCGTTTCTTAACACGTCTTTTCGCCATATTCTAAGAAAATCGCCAGAGATCAAAGGTACAACAAAGCTATGAAAATGATTTGAATATTTCAATATCTTCTTCAAACCGCATTCTTTGAGTGAACTTTTTTTATCTTGATATCGGATCATTTATTCTACGGTTTCCGAAACTCTAAAATGTTTGAATCTTCAAAGTTTCTTTTTTCTTATTTGATAGAAAATTGAACGAATGTAAATAATTTCAAGCAGTCTCTGCTAACTCCGGGAATATAAATGCAGAAGATGTCAGCTGTGAAGAATGTTAAACGGAGGAAATTGTCCCATACGTCCTCGGAGCCTGCCCCCGATGATGTGCCTTCAACCTCGGAGCGCCGGGAGGAAGCTCCTGAAGAAAGCAGCGAGGAACATGCAGACGCAAAGGCACCGAAATCATTCAAGGATTTAGGAATCATAGATTCGCTGTGTGACGCATGTACCTCCCTTAGATATAAAGCTCCAACCCCGATTCAAGCTGAATCTATACCTCTGGCACTGCAAGGAAGGGATTTGGTGGGGTTAGCAGAGACAGGAAGCGGGAAGACTGCGGCTTTCGCATTACCAATTCTTCAAGGTAAGTGAGCTTCCTCTGCAAATTTGATTTTATATGTTATAGAGCTGCAGCAAGCTAATGAGGTTATCGGTGTCGTTGTAGCCCTTATGGAAAAGCCACAGCCCTATTTTGGGCTAGTTTTGGCACCGACTCGAGAATTGGCTGTGCAGATATCGGAAGCATTTGAGGCCTTAGGTTCGCTTATTTCAGTCCGATGCGCCGTTATAGTAGGAGGAATGGACATGATATCTCAATCAATTTCTCTGGGAAAAAAACCACACATTATCGTTGCGACGCCTGGAAGACTTCTTGACCATCTAGAGAACACAAAAGGATTCTCGCTGCGCAACCTGAAGTACCTTGTGATGGACGAAGCAGATCGACTACTCGACTTGGATTTCGGCCCTGTGCTGGACAAGATATTAAAAGTTCTTCCCCGAGAGCGCCGAACATACCTCTTCTCCGCGACTTTAAGCTCCAAGGTCGAGTCTCTGCAGCGCGCCTCACTTTCAAACCCTCTACGCGTTTCAATATCTTCGAACAAATATCAAACGGTCTCAACGCTCCTCCAATCCTATATTTTCATCCCCCACAAGTACAAGGATGTTTATCTTGTTCACATCTTAAACGAGTTCCCTGGCCAATCGACCATAATCTTCACCAGAACCGTGAACGAAACACAACGCCTTGCCATCCTTCTGCGCGCCCTAGGATTCGGCGCAATCCCTCTGCATGGCCAACTATCCCAATCTGCCCGGCTTGGGGCCCTCGGCAAGTTCAGATCCGGAAGTCGAAATATCCTAGTAGCCACCGATGTTGCTGCGCGAGGCCTTGATATCCCTGCTGTGGATCTGGTATTGAATTTTGATCTTCCATCCGATAGCAAAACGTATATTCATCGTGTTGGCCGTACTGCTCGTGCAGGCAGGAGCGGGCGTGCCATCAGCATCGTTACGCAGTATGAGGTTGAGATATGGCAGCGGATCGAGGTCGCATTGGGGAAGCAGCTGCCTGAGCATAAAACTGAAAAGGAGGAGGTTATGGTACTGAGTGACAGAGTAGGAGATGCTCAGCGAATGGCAGTGACGGAGATGAAAGATCTCCATGAGAAGCGAGGGACAAAGGGCGCCACGCTTCGAGGACGGAGGAAGGGAGATTCGAAGAGGAGTAGAGATGACATGGACCGGGAGGAGAAGTGATCTGTAAAACTAATTTCTTCTTTCAATGTTGCAGGTTTTTACGATTTACATGGTCAATTTCGTATTTCTAGAGTCTTCTACATTATTTGTGCAAAATTTTTAGAGGACATGGTATATTTTTTGAAAGCATAAAATCTTTTCTAGCTAACTACCAACCAGTATATAAATATTTGTCTAGAAAAAGGGGGAATGCCCAGTTGAAAGCTGGAAGGGCATAGCAAACAACAACCCGGAGTTCGGTTTAGATGCTTTTCTTTTCCGGGTGATTAACCATAGGATGTACTCCTGGTATTGATGCCATCCTTCATGGTAATGAGTGCTGCCCAGCCAAATGGGACAAGACATTTTATAAGAATAAAAAGAAGCCGAACGCTGTTCCATCAACAAACATTAAAAAAATCAAAGGTAAAGATTTTTTTTGAGTCTCATCAAAAACCCAGTAAAACCATTTCAATATTGTAGGAGTTTATAATATCCGTTTTTGGGGGAGGAAATAATCTCATAAGAGAAAAGTCGTGATTACAAACCAGAGTGATCATCATCCTTTGGGGGGGGAAGAAAAGGCAGAAAGCAAACAATCACTGCCCAGCAGCAGCTTTGCCAGCTTCCTGGACAACAGCTGCAACACGGTTAGCTAGGTCGTCGGTCTCTGACCGAGTGGCGGCTTCAGCATATACTCGAACTGCATCTTCCGTGCCGCTGGCACGAGCAAAGCTTCGACCCTTATTATAACGTGATTGAAGATCATCGATACGTTGCTGGATACCGGCAGGAGATTGAAGTTTCCGTTCAGCATCGTAGGTTTTGAATATAGAACGATCTGGGACTTCGATCCTGACGAGTCGGTTAGGCAGGTCGGTGTATGTTGCAACCCATTCTTTCAAGGTCCAACCCTTGTGGGCGAGGATGACTTCAACCAAGAGCATGTCAGAGAGCGCATCTCCAACTGCCTGGTTAATAAGGTCTGTGAGTGCAACAAGGCTCTCCAATGCGTACTTTTGGGCCGGGGATTGGGGCTCGGCCGTCTTGATGGTCTTCAGAGCGTGCTCGGAGAAAGTGATGGTGCCATGTCCATTGGCCTCGAAGTAAACACCAACGTCAAATCTCATTGCAGCATGGTGGAGATGCTTGACACCGGTAGGCGTGCAGACGACAGGGAGCTTAAGGACCTTTTCAATATATTCGGTACTGGAACCGTTGGCATAGGCAGTTTGGACAACGCCGATCTTGATCTTGCTGGCAACTCCTGCATTCTTTGCAAGCTCACCGATGAAGGAGGCAGCTAGAGTGGCAATGCGGTCACCATCAAGGAGCCTGAAGACACCACTAGCATCCATATAATAGTAAACTAATCGGTCAGCATCTCCGTCAAGCGAGGCACACCTTTCCTGTCCACCGGCTTTGGACGAAGGGGGAGCACGTTGCTTTGTTTTCACGTAGTCTGCTCCGCACTGTGTTCTCCGTGTTAACTATCTTCCTTGAGTTATGAATAGGGATATTGTAGGTACCTCAAAGTTTAGTCTGTCAGGATTAATAACATCGTCATTGATAACATTGATATCTAACCCACCATCCTTGGCAGCTGGTATGAACTTGACGAGCTCCGCAAGTTTTGGACCACCAACACCATTGGCACAGTCAACAGTCACTGAACCGGTAGTCGTGCGGCCCTTCATAACCTTCTTGAATGCCTCGCTGAGTTTCTCGTAGTAGCCCTTCTCGGTTGGTTCTCCATATTCGTAAGGAGTACCCAGGGTGTTCTTGCATCGAACAATGTAGTGAAGCTGGGGAGTAGTCATATACTTAAAATCGGTCGACTCGACTTCCGAAGCGGTCATAGCTGCACTAAGCGCAGTCGCAAGCCTAGCTCCAGAAGCTCGGGTATCTCGCGCAAAGACGACACGCGCAGGGTTGTCCATCTTAATCTCGATTTCCTGGACGAGCTTGGCATATTCCTCCCCCAGAGTTCCTAAAGGAGCGTTTGCCAATCTAGTAGCATAGACCTCCCATTCAGCCTGATAAAAAAAAGGAGAGTGGTAAGTCAAATATTCCACCCTCTGGACTTCAGGTTTATCCTACCTCCAACATCTCGCCCTACATTAAGATATCCATATTAGTCACTGTCGAGGAATAACTAAACTGCCGGATCACATACCATTGGGTCGACCAACTTGACACCATTGTCATCAGCCGGATTATGGCTGGCTGTGATCATGACACCAATATACTGTCCGTTGAGCTTCCTCGAGCGCAGACCGGCCAATAGTCCTACCGCAAAAACGACAGTGTTGAGGAGGTCTCTGTTATGGCATCGCGTTAGACCACAGGATGGTACGTCTAGATATGCCTTTTGCCTTACGATTTCATACGGAACTAGATTAAACACAGAACGGTTTAGCCTATTGAACGCATTCTTCCATGGTTATACGCTACATGGACAAGGGGACCTGCGAAACCTACTCCAGCTGTTCCATATTCAAATATCTTTCCTTCAGGCTTGGTATAGGCCGAAGCGGCCTCGTTGATAGCCTGCTGCATCTCTGCGGAAGCCATTGGTAATATATTCTTATCCTCTGCAACGATTCAAGAGGTTGAGAGTTGGTGGTTTTGGAGGCAGAGGCAGAGCTCGCTTGCTCTTATATATAAATCGGCGGGGACGAGGGGAAAACAAATCAGCTGAGAAAGCGTGGGGGCTTTTCTTTTGGTGTTTGGCGTGTTTGCACCCACGCAAGTTAATTAGTGTGAAAAGCTTTCACATTGCTGCAGGTTGCCTTGCAATTGGGGAAATGCATATATAAGATAGGGGTTTTAAGGGCCGGGAAGAAGACGATAGAGGCTAATGTACAGCACATCAGGTATACATAGTATAATTTATGTTTGTTTTGGCAGTTCTATGCAGAAATGGAGGTATATATATTTATTAAAGACATCATAGATCTATGTAGATAAAACTCAAGCACGCAAGCGCTTCTCGGTGATGTCAAACTCTGCGTCCCGGATAAGGAACCTGTTGGGAAGGAGGAGACGATGGTCAGTAGGAGAGGGGAGAAAGGATGCAGAAGAAAGGCCAGGGTAGAACATACGCATACCACCATATGGTGGGGATAACTGTGCCTAAATGCCATAAGCTGTGGGCATCGATTAACCCGCCAATCGGAGGGAAGTCAAGTAGCTCAAGGCTCATGGCTAAAATCACCCATCCAACAATCATGCTGGGCCACGCCGTCCAAGACTTCATATACCTTTTATACTGCTTGAAGCTAAAGCCAGTCCATAGCAGATTCTGGACGATGCCTACCACGACATTGGCAGCCATGTTGTACGTGTAGTCCCAGGACCAGAAGCTAAGGTACGAGACGTGCATGGTGTATAACACCGCACAGAAGAGAGTCCACCCCCGTAAAAGTGACGGCTTGTAGTGTGGGCGCAGCTTGTCCAGACGGAATATCCTCACCACAGCCAGATATAGGCCGTACAGCACGCTAGCCCCGGCTGCGAAGTAGTCAAGCTTTTCCGTTAAGGGAAAGTCCCTAGTATGGAAGACCATGCTGAACGTCCAGCTCACGAGCCCAATGTAGCCGAACCAGAGGTAGTACTTGCGTAGAGAGTAGGACTGAGGTATGCGTTCCTTCACTTGCTGTATACCACGGTAGTGGGCGAGGTAATTGAATAGGGAGAACAGGACGGAGAAGAGTTCCTGGATGCCCAGGACTCGGTGGAAGGGCCATTTTCCGTGGTACTGGACGACCGGCTGAAGCATCGGGGGGTCCCTGGCCACCCTCTGGTTGGTTACGACATGCTGGCAGGCGTAATCGCAGTTCGACGGACAGTCCCAGAGCAGGAGCCGGAGGTGTATCGCTGCTCAAGCTTCATCTGTTAGCTTTGTAGGGACCCAAAGATAGGACAAACCGGACAGGGTGGAGGAGAGACTTACGGAGAGAAACCTGTCCCGAGTCGCAATGCTCTTTCTTGCAGTTCTATCTCACAAACCAACAAGTCAGCCATAACTTCTCAGCCTTCAAACCAGGCAGGGGATAGCCAACCTCGAGACAGTCTTTAAACTCTGGCAGTCTGTCACCAAGGGACGCCTGGGTAATATCGATGAAGGCTATCCAGGCACAAAGGGCCAGAATCCATCGAGAGAAGGGTATCCTGGTAGGCTTCATGGTTGCTACAGAGGATAAAGAAGCTCTCTACACTTGTTGATAGTCAGAAAGATGATCCGCCTTGGCAGTGAACAGAATACAACAAGCCCCTTTCTTCCTAAGTAGCCTAAAGCTGTCTGGGAACTGCGACGAAAGTAATAAAAAGAACCCATGAACATAAAATATAAGAATTCAAAAAGGGAAAAAAGACGAAAAAAGAAATGGACAATTGATAACCGAAATCACAGCCTTTTGTAGATTTGCAGTTTTTCATATGCAAAACGGACTCGACTGAATACGATATTTCGACTCCGTCCCAGGTCTAGTATCAGGATGTGGCCGCTTTACAAGCAGTTATGTGAATTCTCCCATTTATCAGGTGAAATTCCTTATGTTTTACGAAAATACAACAATGAGGGGATTCTAGGAAAGATGGCAGAAACATCCAACCAAGGAGCATTATTCCACTACATATCTTACTCGTATCCCTACCTCTCCTTAATCTAGCTCTCTCTAGCTTCAACCTACCACCACCTATACCGCACCCCTATGTTCCAAGGTTACTTCGTCGGGGGCATAGGCGATCGAACAGAGTATATATCACATAGTTCGTAAATCAACAAGGGCAACCTAGACTCCTTCAGTAATATGGCTAGCAAAGAATGCATATATATTAGTCACGAGAAGGCCCAAATGGTAAACAGCAGAACATAATCATAGCAAAGGAGGGTATATTCAATTAAAGGGAATCGAATGGTGTCTTTTGCAATAGCATTGTTAGAATTGGTACGGGTTCTGTTAGAAACGGAAAAAAAAGGACTGGGCGTGTTTCGACCGGTGGCTCGAAAAATACAGATGGGCCGCCCCTTTCATATCGCCGACATTTAAAGGATCAATTAGCCACTCGGCTATAGTCCAGCAGGACATTCGTAAAGTACAGTAGTTTATTAATAAGGATGCAGAAGGCCTCGCATAACAATATAAATCCCTACCTAAGCGAGTGTCCGATACCTAACGAGTACATAGTATGATTATCATCACTCGGCCTACCAATCTCCTTCCTACTAGCACTCTGTTCTTACGTACGTACTACGAGCCTTCCTGGGTCTGTTCATACAGCAGTTCCGCCTGCTTCCATAACTAGCTACCCAGTCTACATGACCTCTGCCATCTAAGGCTACCACATTGTGCAGTTTTAGCAGCCCACCCCCCCCTACATCTTGCTTTCACTTCACTAATCATCATCATCCATCTAGCTGTCATTCCAGTTATACTCAACAAAGACGGCCTCAACAAATTCGGTCCCTTCTCCCCCGGTGCAGTCTTCATTATGACATGTTGGTATCCGATGAATGCTTCGGCATATATCGAGATCAAAATGACCCGGATAACGAGACACTAGCCTTATCTCCTGGTGTCCGCAATCTACTCCATAAGTTTAGCAGTTAGCTAGGCTTTGGATATTCTACGGAATGCACATACCATTAGACACTAGGCCTTTCTGTCCTTTTGGCCCACCTGCTTTTGATATAACGTTATATATTATATCTTATGCTTCCCATTTCTATACCCAGAAATGTCGGTACTTCTTGTCAAGCCAAGTTGCTATTGCGCTATAGTCCGCCGACAGGCTATTTATATTGACCGTCAATGACCACCCTTGAGCGTTGGTTTTCCTTGTCAGATTATCTTTATTAGCCAAAGTCACTCTGCATTAATAAAATCAAGGCAAAAGGCGCTTCCACAGCTTCAGGATGTCAGCGATTTTCACATTGGCGCTCCCCTCCATAGGGGCCGGCAGCCTTTGGTAATTATTTTTTTTGATCCGTTTAAGTTATTTTATCATAGTGCAGTTTGGTACAATAACATGGTTGTATGATTAACTAGGGAAGCGCTTGCCTAACAAATGTTATATTCACCACCGATAACTTGCGCCTGTATGCTTTGCTTTGATTAGCTGCGAGATATCAAAAGATATCAAAAAAGAAGAAAGGAGCTAGCCTTACAAGTCAGGAGCCTCTTTATTAAATGGCGCGTCTTTTATACCCCCGGCCGTTCGCGTACGCGTAGTCCTGTATAAAGCCATTCTTGCCGCTAAGGACTTACACCTAAAACCAGTGGGATTCTCTGTTAGCCAGGTCATAATATATAGAGGGGGGGAAGTGACAGAGACAACAACGTCTGCCCTTAGGGAATGAAGCATCTTCTTCATCGGGAGCTCCTCATGCTCAGGCTCCGTAAAGCGATGCCTTCACTGGCCATTACCTAGGTAAGGAGCTATACTTGCCTGGTGCCTTGGTATAAAGTGTTGAGAATCACGGTACGCGTTGAAGGGGCTTTACCACTAAATGCTCTCATTCCAATGGAAGTATCTCCTTTATCCCAGGTCCAAGTCATGACAGATAGGGGGAAACAACGGGCTGAGATATAACTATACGAAGAAGTTATATTTCGGGAGAAGAGAAGAAACCAAGGACTATCTCGTTGACGCAGGGAGAAGAGTCTGATAAAGTAGAAAGTTGAAATATAAGATGAGAAGAGAGGAGGAGGAGGAGTCAAGAAGCAAGGGATAGATATAAATGGGATTTTCTAGAGTTATCTTACTAGTGCCCATTTATATGCTTGTCATCATTACGACGGTATGTACACTACCAATGATGGGCTAATATTTCTATTCCCACTGCCAACTTCCCCCTTCCCGTTATGTCTCGGTACGGGCAGCGTTGCCGTGGTTCCGGTGACGGGGGCAACGGCGACACTGATAGCGACAGTGAAGCAAACACAGCTTTGTCCAACCACTCCAGCTCCCCCGGCTCCGATCTCTATGGAAATATACGTAGAGCCGTCTCAGTTCCACTCCAATTCTCGTCAGCCTTTTTTCTTTTTTTCTTTTTTTGAATCACTATTGGATTCCGAGGGTGTTTGTGTCAATTAAGCCTCCCTATGGTATATTCCCCAGGCTACAATTCACTCTATACCCTTTCTTTACTAACGGAGGACTTATTAGAGCCAAACTTCTTCTACTGAAACCTTCGGGTTCTCTGGAGTCTAGCTTCTTCCTAGCCATTATAGAGCGGCGGACTCAAAATGATATTTATATTGATAGGGGATATCAAGGCGGCAGATATGGGCTTGTAGATGAACATAGATAAAGACAGAGAAAGAAGATATAAGAGAGGGAAAACGATGGAAATGGGGATTTAAGGGAGCAAAGGCACTTTGTATTACTGGGACTTCTCTGTAGTTACATGGGTTAAGCGAAGTTGCTGCGTAGTTGTGTGAAGGCGTGGGAACTTTTGTGCGTGCGAAGCTCACTGAAAACACCAAAAGGAAAGATAAGGCCGCAATATATACGATACTATGTATGGTAAGGCCGTGTGAGACATACTGGATCAGTTAAGATAAAGAAAAAATAAAAAAAGAACTGGACAATGTGATAATCGAAATCACGACCTTCCGTAGGTTTGCAGTTTTTCATATGCAAAACGGACGTTATACCACTAAACTAATTGCCCTAGTTTGTTGAAAGAAGGTTAGTGTGACTTCTATATCACTAGAGTGCGATAAGTCATCAAGTGCAAACATTGCAAAGTCTCCCGCCCTTTTTTAGTTTTTTTTTTTTTTTTTTTTTTTTTTTTTTTTTGGAGCAAGAAGGGAAAGATAAGTAAAAAGCCTTTAAGAGAGAGTAAAAAGGCCCGACTTTTCAGCCTGTGGGAATTTCCTGTCTCTTTCTTTGTCACAGACGATTTCGATTTCGAGGTCGTTTCCTGTTGCAAGGACCCTTTGAAATCATTCTTTCATCTGTCTTATTTTGACCAGATACCTCCCCCTCGCTCGCAGTCATGGATAGTGCAGCAGATAACAATGGCTTCACTGCCTCTAGCGCAGATAGGATGGTTGGAATGGACCATGCTGAGGTCCGCTATTTCACAAGGTATGGCTTTCCTTCTCTTATATTTGATAGCATTGCTAACTATTCTCTTAGTTACGATCATTATGGTAATAAATACCCCACCTATAGCATATAAAGAGAGGAGTTGATGAATGTTGAGCTAATGGTGGTGATATAATAAAGGAATTCACGAAGAGATGCTTGTGAGTTTGGATCAATTCTGGAATTCATAAAGGGAGTATATACTAATGTGGACTGTTATAGAAAGATGAAGTGAGAACCCGCTCGTACCGTGATGCTATTTACAATAGCAAACACCTTTTCAAGGACAAGGTGGTTCTGGATGTTGGCTGTGGAACCGGTATTCTCAGCATGTATGTGTTGATTTATCTCTAAAGCAAAGGTATAGTGACTAATCAATGAGTATATATGATAGGTTTGCTGTCAAGGCTGGTGCAAAGCATGTTATCGGAGTCGACATGTCCTCCATCATTGGAAAGGCCCGCGAGATCGTCCAGGCAAACGGAATGTCAGACAAAATTACCCTTCTTCAGGGAAAGATGGAGGAGGTAGAGCTCCCTTTCCCCAAGGTCGACATCATTATTTCAGAGTGGATGGGATACTTTCTTCTCTACGAGTCCATGTTGGATACCGTTCTCTACGCCAGAGACAACTATCTCAACCCTAATGGCTTGATCTTTCCAGATAAGGCCACCATCTACCTTGGAGCCATCGAGGATGGCGATTACAAGGAAGAGAAGATTGGATGTATGTTTATCTACCTTCTATGTCCAATGATGCAACTGCTAACCATTCATCAGTCTGGGACAATGTCTACGGCTTCGACTATTCTGCCATGAAGGATGTTGCTCTCACCGAGCCCCTCGTCGATACTGTTGAGCTCAAGGCCTTGGTCAGCGACCCTTGTGCCATCATCACTCTCGACCTCTACACCGTCACTACTGCGGACCTGTCGTTCAAAGTCCCATTCAGCCTCACTGCAAGACGCGATGACTACATCCACGCCCTCATCGCCTGGTTCGATATCGACTTCACGGCCTGCCACAAGCCCGTCCACTTTTCAACCGGCCCACACGCCAAATACACCCACTGGAAACAGACCGTATTCTACTTACGTGACGTCCTCACCATCCGTGCCCAAGAATCGGTCACCGGCTTTTTGGAGAACAGACCAAACCAGAAGAACAAGCGTGATCTCGATATCACCATAGGCTTTGAGTTTGATGCTCAGGACAACACTCGTAATGCTCAGGGCCTCTGCCAGTACAGGATGTGCTAAATCGCGTGATTGTTCGCCCTCATTTTTCGTTTGTTTTATGCTAAAATCGATTCGGACCTGCATGGGACACCTTTTTCTCCCCTTTCTTTTACTACAGATTGTATGAGTTGAGAAAAAAGTTGACTAGCAAGATGGCAATGGCGTTGGGAAATGAATCTGGCATGTTATGAATTGATCGGGCTATAAAAGGAGAAGATGATGATATAAACGGCGATTTTATAAAGCTCCTCGATTTGCAATTGATACCCTCGAGTAGATGCTTAGTCTAACCGATTTTTTTTCAGTTTAGTGGCATACTTTTTATTTCATAGTTTCCATTCTCAAGCATAGTGAAGGCTCTATTCAACTATTTCCCTCCCTTTCTGTATCTTTCAGTTTTTCTTAATGCGGCTCTGCTTACTAATCCGGCTACTTTGCCAGAGAAGCCTCGGCTGGAGCAAACCTCGAACTCGGGACAAAACAAAATAAGGAGCTCCCCGCAAAGAAGCTGTCGAAGTTCAAGTATTTAAGTCTTCATCCACCAGTACTGATATCTAATTATATCTAATTAATAGAGGGAATTGTTTTTAGCCCCTATATTCACTTCCGTGGAGGTCTCTCAACCAACTAGCAAGCGCAAGAATGAGCGGACCAGGAGCTGGCCACCAATTTCCCAGCGAGGAGGTGAGCTGGTTAAAGAGAGACCTCCTTCTCTTTGCTAACAGCATTGGATGCACAGCTGAAGAACTTCATTTTCTCTACGTAAGTGTATATGATGTTGAACGCCTCATCCCTTGAGTATAGAAGATAGGAGCTAACTACCTGATTGAACAGGAGCTACACCCGAACTTTGCAGCTTTTCCCACATATCCTATCATTTTACGTACGTTTATATACCGGTCCGCGCCACTATTCCCTTAATCCCCGTGGTCTAATGGGATATCATAGCATTTAAATACAAATCACAAGAAGTCGTCGATTTTTACTCAAGCAAAGCCTCAAGGGACATTCCTGGAGTGCCTGCCCTTGATCCCCGACGTACCGTCGATGGACAAAGAAAAATGACATTTTATAAACCCTTGCCGGTTACCAGCGAAGGCCGCAAGTTCGAGCTACGATCCAAGGTCATCGGCGTATATGATAAGGGCAAAGTTGGCACCGTCGTGGAAATGGAGAACTTGATCGTGGATAAAGAGACCGGAGAAGTGTACACGAAGGTAGTTGGAAGTGCATTTTATATTGGTCAAGGGAACTGGGGTGGTCCAAAGGGTAGGCTCTATTACTATACGCCAGAGATATGTTTTTTTGATACTGATTAGCTTTATAGGCCCTGCGAGCGTCAACTTCTCTCCACCCAAAGGAAAGACCCCTGACGCAGTCCATGAGTACCAGACCACCGATAATACTGCCCTGCTCTATCGGCAAGTATATCTTCTCATATTTACTACCTTCATTTCTAACATAACTCTACCAGTCTCAATGGCGATTATAATCCCCTTCACGCAGATCCAGTGCCAGGGAAGAAGATGGGTTTTGGTGGCATCATAATCCATGGCCTCTTCAGTTGGAACATGGCTGCCCATGCCGTGCTTGAGAAGCTCGGAGGCAGTGATCCAAAGAACATAAAGGAGTTCCAGGCTCGCTTTGCCTCTCCGGTTCGACCTGGAGATAAGCTGGTGACAGAGATGTGGAGGACAGGTAAATCTGAGGACGGGTTCGAAGAGGTTATTTTCGTCACCAAAAATGGACAAGGCAAGGTTGTCTTGAGCAATGGCCGTGCTCTTGTGAGGGTTGTAGGGGGTAAGAGCAAGCTGTAGAACCTCTGGACTTGATATCGTTGTCCTGGGTACAAGACATATATAGTAGCTATCTTCGCTCCTTGTGATTTGGTGAATATTTAGTGATGTTTGCAAATCTGAATCTCAACGAGAATAAATTCTCCGAATCGAAATAAAGTTGCAGCTCACATGGGATATTATTCTTGAACATCAACTGCATATGTTGAATATCTCGATAAAATGCCAAGTAGTGCTTTCAATTATCAGTTTAGCATCGTAAATATATCTGGCCATGAACCTCTGAAGATTCTATTGGGGAGGTTCTTCGTCTGTGTTGACATTAAACCAGTTATTTCTTGTGTTAAAATAACCACTAAAATGTATATGCCCCGCTTGTTAATGGAATGATATGACATTCTCAATTATATTATATACCGGTCAGTGTTCTCGTGAAGCTATACAACATGATAAAGATGAACAGCCTTTGGCTTATTCGAGCCGCGAGTACCGCACAGTAAGGCTTAATTTTTTAGATCTCGCTATACCTCTACAGCTCCTTACTTACAACTTGTCCTAGGAATGCCCTGTCCCGCTTGTCGACGCCTGTGTTAGTTAGTCTTCCTATCTTGCAACCCTTACAAAGATTTTATGGCTTCAAGAAATTGGTCATTAACAGAGATATCACATAACCATGCATAAATAGCGTGCAGTTAATAGGCCGAACCTCCATATATACCCCCAGCTCTTCGGCCCCGGAAAAGTGAGACGCTTGTCAAATCTAGTGCAGGCCAGGCTATTTTCTGGAGAGACCCAGGCCAACGGTTCGGTTACCGTACCTTCAGTTTCTCTACCTATTCCAGGCCTCGAAGGGCGCAAATGGTAGGCACTGAGTCCTATCTAGAGCTCTGGTATCGAGCTGATGGTGTGGGGCGTATAGGTCGAATATATGGTTGAGGGATAATTGTCAATGTCATGAATGCGTTCACCCAGAGACCAGGCAACGGCTTCTGGATACGTTTTCTGTAAGTGAAGGTCATATACTTATCCTATACCCCTGGATCTGGGACTAATATATCCAATGAACAGCTACCAGAAGATAGTAAACCGGCAGCCATTAATCCGCTAAAAGATGGCCTTGAAATAGAATGTATGATTATTTTTATACCACTTTGCAGCGGGGAATCTGACTTGGAATAGGGGCGGGAGATGGCCATAGGAGTACTTACGCCTACGAATGGCTGAGAAACCATACATCTCCCAACAATGCTTCCATAGATGGACCAGGGTTAAGGTCAGTGGCCCTGACGCTTCTACTTTTGTCAGTCTACTTACATATCCAGGACTGATCTTGAGTTTGTCGAAACTACCTCTAAATCACTCCCCACCGTGGCATATGAAGAAGTGATGTCGTCCGATGAAGGAGTGCGAAAGTGGACAGACAACATTGTACGCTCTTTTAAACTATAACTATGAAATTGCATGCGGGAAGCATTGGGCTTACGGTTTATATCTATAGTATCGATTCGGTTTCAGCTTTGTAAACGGTAGTCCAGCTACGCCTGAAGCGACTGAGAAACTGTTGGAACGGCTGGCCTTTATCAGGCCTACACATTATGGTGAGAATACCCCCTGAAGGGATATAAACCATGATTAACCAAAATGTTGACATAGGAGGCTTCTGGGATTTCACATCCGACCTTTCGATGAAAGATACGGCATACACATCGCAGCATCTTAATGCCCACACGGACACGACATACTTCACAGACCCTGCAGGGCTTCAAATGTTCCACATTCTGTCACATACAGGTGGAAGTGGAGGAGAGACCTTATTGGTTGATGGGTTCAAAGCCGCTCGCACTTTACTCGCTGAAGATCCCGAAGCCTATAAAGGTCTGAGTGAGATCAAAATCAGCTCGCATTCCAGCGGAAATGAAGATGTCTGTATCCAGCCAGCCAGCTCATTCTCTGTATTAAACCATATGGGTGACTCTTCTGAGTTATACCAGGTTCGGTGGAATAATGATGACCGCGCACCAGGAAATGGAAACTCACTGGAAACAATCCATCGTTGGTACCAAGCAGCAAAAAAGTGGAATGGAATTCTCAAGCGGCCTGACATGGAGATTTGGTTTAAGCTTGAGCCTGGGACTCCGCTCAGTAAGTGTTCCACGAGGTAAATATGAAATTTGGGGGTAGCAGCTGACTCGGTGTAATTATCCAGTATTTGACAATTGGAGAATTCTCCATGGGCGTTCCGCCTTCACGGGGAAGAGACGGATGTGTGGCGGGTATAGTAGGTACTCCATAACATGGTGTATTTTTTTAGATATAAACAGACGACGAGTTAACAGATTTCAACTGGATAGTCAACCGTGATGATTTCATATCGCGATATCGCCTCCTGAAAAACGGAAGAGACCAACTGCTCGCCCAGATATAGTACCATGACGAAGGGCCATTGTGTACAGAAGGGAAAAGAGGAACTATCTAAATAAGCGATGGCATTAGATCCTATTCACCGTTAACCTACTATAGTTTGAAATTTGGTCAATTGATCGAAGATGTAAATACAAAGTTTAGAAGTTGTTGACCAAAGCAGACACGTGACACACTAGGCAAACAGCAAGCTTACGTGATGCATCAGCTTTGGAGAAGCTGCTTTGCTCTTGAGCTTCCAAGCGGCAACAATCTCAACAATCGACACTTTCGCTTCTCCCCTGCATATTGCGTATCTGCGCCTGTATCATACACAGCGGGACGGGAATATCCTTGTTAGCCCATCGAACCGATCTTATTCTTCTGCAGCTTCTCCCACTTTCGTCGCCATGTCTACTTTAGAGGATCTCGACGACCTTGAGCGCGAGGACAAGAACCACAAAGATGACCGAAAGGATGGTGAAAAGAAGGGGGCAGACAAGGACGGGGATGCGGAAATGAAAGAGGCTGAAAAGAAAGAGGAAGAGGAACTCATAGACGAGGAAATTCTACGATCAAGCACAAGGGATATTATCAACAGACGGAAACTCATCGAAAACGACATGCGGATCATGAAGAGCGAATTCCAGCGATTGACGCATGAGCAGAACACGATGAAGGAAAAGATAAAGGAGAACCAGGACAAGATTGAGAATAACCGGTAAGTGCTCTTTTTGTATATTTCGCTGATAGGCGCCTAACGAGGTTGAAGACTAATTCTTACTACCTAGACAACTTCCCTACCTAGTTGGTAATGTCGTGGAATTATTAGATCTTGATGTGGAGGAAGAGGCAGCCGAAGAAGGCGCCAATATTGACCTTGATGCCACCCGTGTCGGCAAATCTGCGGTTATTAAAACTTCCACACGACAAACTATCTTCCTTCCACTTATCGGTCTTGTCGACCACGAACAGTTGAAACCTGGCGATTTGATAGGTGTGAACAAAGACTCTTACCTTGTTCTGGATACACTACCCGCTGAGTACGATAGTCGTGTGAAGGCAATGGAGGTAGACGAGAAGCCAACTGAGCAATACTCGGATGTTGGTGGCTTGAACAAGCAAATTGAGGAACTTCTTGAAGCCATAGTATGGCCGATGAAGGAAGCAGACAGATTTAAGAAGATTGGTATCAAGGCTCCCAAAGGTATGTCACTCTACTTTGGTTGGCATCTTGCATATCCATCACATTTGAAGTTTCATAGAAGCCATATACGTTCAGATAGCAGCTAACTTTATATGCAGGCGCCCTCATGTACGGCCCTCCTGGAACTGGTAAGACTCTCCTTGCCAGAGCTTGTGCCGCCCAAACAGAGGCAACTTTCCTCAAACTTGCCGGTCCTCAGCTTGTACAAATGTTCATTGGTGATGGTGCCAAGCTGGTACGTGACTGTTTCGCTCTGGCCAAGGAAAAAGCTCCCGCCATTATCTTCATCGACGAGCTCGACGCCATTGGCACCAAGCGTTTCGATTCTGAGAAATCGGGAGACAGAGAAGTACAGCGAACCATGTTGGAGCTTCTTAACCAGCTTGATGGATTCGCCTCCGATGATCGAGTCAAGGTTCTTGCAGCTACCAATCGTATTGATGTCCTTGATCCTGCCCTTCTACGATCTGGCCGTTTGGACCGTAAGATCGAGTTCCCGCTACCAAACGAAGAAGCTCGTGCCCAGATTCTGAGAATCCATTCCCGTAAGATGACGGTCGACGATAAGGTAAACTGGCCGGAACTTGCTAGGAGTACTGATGAGTTTGGTGGTGCACAACTTAAGGCTGTCTGTGTTGAGGCTGGTATGATTGCGCTGCGAAAGGGAGTCAATAAAGTGAGCCATGAACATTACGTCGATGCTATTTCAGAGGTAATGGCGAAGAAGAAGGATACCAATGTTGGCATATATGTTTAAAGCATATGTGTTTAGATGCAACAAGACTGATAACCATTTTTTGAGAGACACCGTCTCGCCTTTCCCTCTCCCTCTTAATCACCAGCTTCGTTTTAGATATACAGTTTTAACGTTTCTGCTGCCATGCATACTTTTGACTCGTAACCTTCCAGGTTCCACTGATCATTCTGGGAAATTTCATATTTTCAGCGATCAAATGACCCGAATAGTAGGAGAAAATTGATCGTATGCGTGTCATGTGCATATTAATTGACTAAACACTATAACTAAATATATATACACCTCAATCATACACATATCCTATCCCATAACAACACTTGGTGGTACATATTAGAGAAAAATATACATTAACCTCCCGATTGGGTAAAAGCTGGGTAAATCCGGGGGCAAAAAGGCAAGGTAAAAAAGGTGTTCGTGAAATAGACAATAAATAGTAAGAGAAACAGGGTTTATAATCAATCCAAACTCCAACTGACCAGACCAAATAGGAAAATAGGTATGTATACATATATAAACTGAAAAGGGCAAGTCAGCGGAAAATATCATTCACGCTGAGCAACATTGCTGAGGTGTTGCCTTTCTTAATACCTCCGATATAGCGTTCACGTTCAGCGTGACTCCACCACTCCTTGCCAGATTTATGGCTCTGGTTCCAAGAGCCATTGCACGTATCTCGGGCCCAGAACGGCTGATCTCCATTGCCAACTGTGGAGGGCCAGGCGGTAGGAGAGGTTGGAGTTTTGGGCGGCATAGGGGGATTGGAGCTAATGGATTTGGCGCTGGTGTGGTTACTACGTCCATTTGATCCGCCCCATACTGAGAAACGGGAGGACGAGGAAGTAGTTGTGGTAGCTGTCGAAGGAGAAGCTGTGTCATCGCTGAAGCTAGAGTTTGTATTGACTCGTTTAGAGTGGTGTTGTGCGGCAGGGAGGGGGGGATGGGCGGGTGAAGGGGAGCAATTGGCGAAGAGAGCGGTTTGGTTTGCAGCGAAGAGGTGTTTGTGGCTTATTAGACCGCCGTCTGCATCTGAATTAGGGATATCTGGTTTGAGGGTAAATCGTGGGGTTAAAGCGGTTGTATTGCTCTTATTTGATATCCCTACTCTGCCCATGCAGGCAGGTATCAGGAACTCTAGAATCTTGAGCGCAGGCGTCTGTGTTTTGCCATTATTGAGTGTGAGAATTGCTTCAGAGCTCACGTATCCTGGCTGTATAAGTACGTCGGGTGTTAGAAAGTCTTCGGAATGATCAGTGATGATGACTTTGACGCCTGCGTCGTTCTCTTTTGCCGCCATATCTATAAGCGCCTGGGAGCGTATACGCGCTGATGATAAGTTATTCCCCGCCGGCATTGCCAGGGGTCGTTTGGGAAGAGACCCATGAGAACTCCTGGGAAGATTGTGGCGATCTGCAGGAACCATAATCACTCCGTTTTTTGATGGCCGACAAACGTTCTGTAAAGCTCCCAATGGATCTATATCAAGCGGTGCACGGAGGCGTTCAAGGGACGGGAAACCGACGTGTAAGATACTCTGGGCCAGATGCGAGTTGGGCGTGTTTGCTGTACTCAGAACCTTGGAAAATGGCATAGTATCGATCTGGTTCAGGGCATCGGCGCCATTGGGTCCGGCGACATCCCAGTGGAGGTATTTCAGCGATGCTGAAGCAAGGAGTGGCTGGAATACCATTCCGCCCTCTGGGAGAGATGGAACGACGGTGGACTGAACTATGGCGAACCGTTCTAGTGATGCTAGAGAAGCGAGAATTTTCGATAGAATAAGAAGAGACGAAATGTTCTGCTCTATCAGAGCCAAGGACTTTAAACCCCTTGCCTCTGGCCTGCCCATATATCGTGCCAGTCCATTCTCCGTGACCCCCTGAAGGCCCTCGAGTCGAAGGGAGGTTAATGCTGGGAGAAAGAGTAACGTTCGATCTGTGAAGTTATCTGCTTCAAACCCTGAGACAGATAAGTGCTGTAGGGCAGGCAGGAAGTTGAACATCCTTAGAAACACGCCGTGTTCCAGTATACCCTTGGAATCCATGGAGTGCAGCACCATTGACTCAAGCTTCGCCCAGGACGTGTGGTAGCTGAGAAATTGATATACCTGGCCCTGGTCCAACACTTCGGTAGATTTATTCTGTGCTCGCTCCGTCACATCTGCATTTTGGCCAATTATCCAGGCATGTTCCTTGAGTTTCTTCCTCGTCGATAGCGCATGGGTAAGCCGGTCGAATTCGTGGTTATATGGTATTGAGAGTCCTAGCAGGCGTTCGAGGTTGGGGCAAACCATGACGACTGAGGCAACCAAATCCCGATATTCCTGTAGAACAAGATGCTGTTTCCCCGTCATCAGGGGGGCGTCCAACTCTGGCACTCTGAGTTCAAAGACCATGTTGGCCAGAGCCTTCCTCTCGCGCAAAGTTCGTCTAAGGAGCCTCAAACGGCTGCCACGCTTCCATTTGTACTTCTTCAGAGGAGCTGGAGAATCGCTCCCGTGAAGATGAATTTTGTTATATCTATAGCGCAGTATTGACTATTATTATTTCTGCAGCAACAGACGTAGTGTACAAGTTGTATGAAGTAGAAGAAAAGAAAAATACAAAAAAGCTTACAGTTTACCTCTGACGGCCTTCTCCCACGCTCTGTCTGTCAAGCTCAGAGAGTACAGGTCCCGCATGTAGCAGGTCAAGCAACCTTCCGTGCAAGAGCTGGTATGCAACGACCAGAGATGGGAGAGGATACATTCGTAGACCTCGTCTGGGAGACGATTGGTAAAGACCTGCATAGGCTTCTGGTCTGGCGGCGAGATCCTGCCATGCTTATAAGGGTAGTATGAATATCTGACGGTGGCAGGCGAGTAGAGGCTCGGGACGCTCGAATTGGCAGCCTGATTCGAGTAGAGAAGGGGGAACGTTGGGCTCTTGAGTGGAGGACGAGGCGGCTGAGGCGACGCTGGAGGATGGTGCGGAGGGGTAAACTGTTGATATGAGGCTGTATTTGAAGACATTCGCGATGTTCCGGATGGAACTGTGGTGACGACACTCATTCTTGCAGCAGATGACGGCAACGCAACATTTCTCTTCTCTGAGAGACCCCAAAAAAAAATTGCGAAGATAGAGAGGTACTTTGTTTGCGTGTCACCGGGTGATTCTCCAGCAGAATCGCGCAGGCTGCGTATGGTTTCTCTCTTGCACCACGTCTTTGAAGATTGGATGATGAGGTTGGAGGAGGATGAAATGGTATATACTGCGGCTTGTTCACCACTGCACCCACACTCTCTCCTCTCCTCCTGATCTACATCCTCCCGTACAGAGTCACTAGGGGGTCCCCAAGAGTAATACCCGAGCAGCTTGGACGAATAGCGCCGCGAGTTAGTGAGTTAGTGTGGTAAGACCTGCACCACCAACCCATGCGAACGAGAACTTGGCGATCAACCCCCCAAAATCCCCACAAGCCCAGGATGACAAGTCGTAATCCCTGGGTTGTATATCTACCTCGAAGCAACGAAGTTATATCTTTCGTTTGAGAAGAGTTTGCATAGAGCCATCATAAACTCACCCCATACTTCGGCTTTCTTTTTTTTTTTTTTTTTGCTTCTCACCGGTCATACAGAGGTATCCATACGGAATATACACTTTTGAGCCTTCGGGAAGGCAGACGAGAAAGAAGCCAGTCTGGCCCAACGCTGTCCTGCTGCAGAGGGCGCCTCATCGGAGCCTTGACCGAAGTTGACACCTTCTGACGTCCATAGCGTTAGCCCGGTCGACGCTTGACCCAGGGAAAAAAAAAAAGGGGGACCAGGTACTCTTAGTGAAACACGACGGCGGAACCCATCATGGCGATAGGTCCCTTGCAGCTGTCAAGCAGCCTTCCCCCTTGCTCCTCATCTCCACCCCTGGGTCCAACAACTAGCATTAACCCTCGTAAACAAATGCAGGGGACGGGGCATGTCCAATATGGGAGAACAAGACAAACCCATTTCTTGTCTTCAACCCTTCGCGAGAAACGACCCAAAAAAAAGGAAACAAAAGAAAAAAGGAGGCGTGGGCCCGGGCGCCCCCTGGTTGGCCAGATCGGGACGCGCTAGCGCAGGAACCGCGCGCTAGCGATGACTAAGCAGCCCCTGAGCCAGAAAGAGCGAAGATACTTTTTGGAGCTTTACTATGTAAGGGGAGTGTATACGGAGATGGAGAGTGTGAGAGGAGAGTACACATAGTACAAGGGAGCCAGTAACAGGCACGGAAGAAGTGATAAAAATAGACCTGACCCGTGGTGCATGAAAACTGCATGAAATAAATAGGGGAGGGGAAATAGTCCTAAGAATCAATAAAATGGATAAATATCAGCCTCCACCACCCACCAACCCCTTGGCTAACATGCAGGATGAACTTGAAAGGATGCTTGCTGGATCGTTAACAGACGAATCATGCCGCGCATTTTTGAAAAGGAAATGAGAGAGAAAATGAAGATGAGCGTATCTGGCATTTATGAAACTGGATTTGGAAGCAATATGGCTTGATAAATAAGAGAGAAAAAGAGTATAGTAGAAAACAAACAAGTAACGGAGTATAAAAAGTTCCCTCTTTGCTTTTTTTTTTTACTTTTTTTGTGCTGTTTTCTTTCTTTTTGGGTGGTGTGCGTGATCACTGTGAGTGAAACAAGCAAAATGGGGATATGGATGGGTAAGAGGGGAAGGCTAGAGCGCAGAGTCGAAATGCCCGTTAAACAAGGAAGGCAAGTGATGGGGGAAAGGGTAGTTGGTAGGAAAAGGGGATAGGCGCCTTGTCAGGATAAGTTGAGGTTCGTGTCTTGGGCCGTAAATAGGAACAGGCGGGAAGGGCGGAAAAGGGCGATACAAAAAAGCACAAGCATAAATAGGATGTGTTGATATGTGCAAGTGGCATCAAGTCATGTACTTCATGATTGGGGGCGAGATCAAAAAAGAATAGATAAAAGTTGGTACGAACGTAGGAAAGGTATGGGAAAGTAAGGCAGGCAGGCAATATTCGAAGGGATTTAAACATGTTTTCGTGTTTACTTTGTCGAATTCCCGCGTTGCTCACATCTCAAAGTGGTAGTCGTCATGGAATATTCCTGCATCTGCATCGCCATTTGATGTTGTTGCGTTCGTGCGTTCAACTCCGCTCATGCGATGGCTGTGGTCAGGGCCGGAGCTATGGCCTACGCCAACTCTGCTGCTGCCGCTGACCTTGTGAGGTTGCGCCCATTGATCGTGTTCGGGGAAGTCCTCTTCCATGTAGTCATCTGCCGGATTGCTAGAGTAATTCTCTTGGCCATGGCTCATATGGTGTTCCATCGAACTCTCGTTGACAAAAGTGAAACCCTTGAAGTTCGCTTGCATGCCCGGAGACAATGGTGTGCCAACAGGATTCAGCCCGTTCGCCAACGCGGCGGCTCTCGCGTTCAGAGACGCAGACTGCTCCAGAGCAGTGGTAAACTCCGGGTCGAAGTAAGACGTGTCCATGACAGATGTCAATGTTGGTTTAAAGGGAGGAATGACACCCTTGTTAGCCAGAACGACCCAGTCGATATCGTGGAAGAATGGGTGTGCCATAAGCTCCTTGGCGTCATCCCGGTAGCCAAGCCGGTGTTCAGGGTTTCGGTTCAGCAGGCCCTTGACGAAATTCCTCCCTTCAGCACTAAGGGCGTCGCGAGGAAACCGAACCTTGCCAAACGCGATGTTCTTGTACATTTGCTGGGTATCCTCGGCATAGAAAGGACTCCAGCCGCAACACATCTCAAAGACAAGGACACCCAGGGACCAGAAGTCAACCATTTTGGTGTATCCGGTTTCATTGAGCAGGACCTCCGGGGCAAGGTATTCTGTTGTACCACAGAATGTATTGGTGGTGTCGTCCTTGGTAAGATTAGCCTTTGAGAGACCAAAATCACATAGTGCGATGTGTCCATTGGCATCGAGAAGGATGTTCTCAGGCTTCAGATCACGGTACACGATATCGTGATCATGAAGATGTTGCAGGGCAAGGATCAACTCGGCAATGTAGAACTTTGCACGAGCTTCGAGGAATCGCCCTTCTTTCTGGAGATGCCAGAATAGTTCGCCACCCGACATGTAGTCCGTGACAAGGTATAGATCCGTAGGAGTCTGGAAGGAGAACTTTAGGCCAACGATAAACGGAGAATCCGTCATCGCTGTGCGGACAAGGATGTTTCTCTCTCCAAGGGTATGGGCGATCTCCTTCTTCTGGATAATAACCTTCTTGGACAAGACTTTCATCGCGTAAATCCGCTGCGTATCTTTCTTTCTCACCTGATATACCTGTCCAAACGTACCTTTTCCGATCAACTTGAGGATCTGGAAGTCGTTCGGGCCGAAATGTTTCTTGTCGGTCTTCTGGAAGCTCATTTGGAGATATATCTCTCCTGACACGGGCCCCTGACCGTGAGCGAGTGGCTGGAGAGGATACCACCCCGACAGCGTGGTACGGTCGTTTTTCAGGTGGAGAGATAGCTTCAGGTGACCAAGGAAAGCTTCATGGTTCGAACGATCATAGACAGACACGTCAAGTTCCGATTGATGGCCAAGAACGTCACTAAATATCGATCAGTAAAAGGAGGAAATAAAGGAAGGCATGCACGCGCAACGCACAAAACGGCATCATGATTCCACTGCGGATCAGTGACCTCCGTGGGTCCGTTACTATGTCCTCCATCCATCATGCTGTTATGGCTGCTCTGCCGACTTTTCATTGGGATAGCCATGGGCCGCCCGGAGTCGCTGTTGGACCGTTGAATCGGCACTGAACCCAATGCTTCTAGTCTGTTTCTTCCCGAGCCAGAACCAGGGCCAGCAAGACTACTGGTGTGACCGTTCTTCTCATCGGCCTTTGCACCCTTGGAGATGTATTCGTTCCACTCAAAAACGCAAACGACGTACGGATCAACGCTGGGACGCAATCCTCGCCCTTCAACTATCTTTACGGTTAGTTTGCCCTTTAAAGAAGCTGTTACCGGCACCCCGGACTCTTCTGAGGCTCCGCTAGATCTAGAAGAGGCCGAAGGCTTGCTGGATTTGCTTTTCCGCGCAGTAGACGATGTGGTCGAGTTTCTTCCCTGAATACCGTCTGGGGTGTTAGCATGGTGAGGTGGGGAGTGCTCTATTATCGACCTCGGGGGATCTCGTTTTTCCGCGGCATCGGTTTCATTGGACATCGCGCGGGGGGTGAGAGGAGGGGTGTTCTTTGTACGCGGACCAGCGGCCGCGCTGTCTGTCAGCTTTTCCAGATCCTCACAAGAACTGGAGATTGAGGTATGATGCTGGGAGGGAGACTTGGAAGATGATAGGGAGTGGGATTGTGAAATTGACTGTGAAGAAGGGCGGGAAGGTTTAGAGAAATGGGAGGCCATGACGGCATCAGGGGAGACACTGGAGACAGGAAAGGAAGTATGTCGTTTTGGCTTTTGCTTTTGTGAAGATTTGGAGAAGATAAGGTTCTTCAGGGCGCGATAAACCGAGCTCACTCCCGTATCGATTTCTGGGGCACCGTTCTCAGCCTCCTCGGTATCCCTTTGGGTGATGGAGCAGAATGAAGAGCGGGGAGGAGTCGGTAGAGGGTTGATAGCATCACCATGGCCGCCGCCACCGCTGCCCGCATCCTTGGAAGAGGCGAGGCACTCTTTAGCCGATATGACTTCCAGGCTCTGGGCGGTGGCAGGACGGGAGCATGGGACAACACGCGCAGGGTTCTGACCACGATCCAGCAGGTTGGTCGACTCAGCCAGGGAAGGGCAGTGTATAGGTTGTGATTGATGATTTGGCGGGTTCAGTATTACATCCGATAATATTTCCTGTGTCTCTCCGGTCTGCTGGCAATTCTTCCCAACAACAAAACTATCATCACTATTATGCTCCCCTGGGGTATGGCGGGCTGAAGGAGGCATGTGAGGAGGAGGAGGAGGAGGAGGAGGAGGAGGAGATCGTAGACTGGTAGGGGCTGAAGTAGAATCGGAACCGGCACGAACCTGTGCAAAGAAACTAGGCATGATCCCCGGGACGCGCTTGTCGGAGGGATCTGGCTGCGGCGTCGCAATCCCGGACGGTGTTGAGCCCATGGACCCTATCTGGTCCTGGGAGTCATCTCCATGCTTTTGGCTGTATATCGGACGAGGGTTAGCCATCTCGCCGGCTCAAACAAACAGCTGAAAAGAGTAATGCTAAAAAGGTGAGATGTGAAAGCAAAGAAGATCCTCAGCTAGTCTGCATCCTTTGAGGCTGACGGCTTTTCTTGCTCTGGGCCTGATGAACCTCCTTTTTTTTTGCAGGCCACCGTCACTGTGGCTATTGCTGTGACATCGAGCTGGGTGTGTGTGTGTGTGCATGTGTGTGTGTGGGAGAAAACGCCACCGAGCTGTCACTCTCTCTTTCTACCTCTCTTGATCGTCTTCTTCCCAGGCAGGGTCACGGATAAAGCGCCATCGAACTGGGCCGGCAGACGGACGATTGCTGTCCTGTTTGCCACCTGTATTCTTCCTTCGCGTGAAGAGATATAAGGGCTGTCGTGTCTCACCGAAGTATACAGCTTGATGTATACCACGGTCGCCGTTACGACCGTTGACACCGCAAGTAACCAGAGATAACAAGAGAAAGGAACAACAAGATATATAAAACAAGTAGAAAAGAGACTCACTTCTGAAGCATCGCTTGCCGCAACAGGTCTGCGTGGGCATGGGGATTCACTCCTCCAAACTCCGCCATGTCCTCTTCACCTTGGTTACCTGGTGTCCATCCACGAGCACCGATAGAGTGCTCTTCTGTGTATACTCGTCTTGTATATTCTTCTTCTCTCTTCGTCTTGTCTACTCAAGACAACCTCGCGCTGACGTCGTCCAGGGGGGGGGCGGCGCTGGTCCGGGGCTGGGAGGGGTGGTGGTGATTGGCAGCTGAAGGGGGGGGACCAGGCAGCGATGCAACCGGTGGCGAAGGCGAAAAAAGGGCTGAACCAACCTGATCGAACAAATCAAGTTCAGACCGCCAGACAAGTCGCTGCAGGTAAGAGAGTGACGAGGTGGAAAGAAGAGAAGAAGAGGGAGAAGAGAAGTAGAAGTTTTTTTTTTTTAGGAGGGAGGAAAAATCTTTCACAAGGGTGGAAAAGTTAAGTAGGGCGGAAGTCTCTTTTTATAAATACTTATAGAAAAGAGATCAAGAGAACAGCAAAAGTACGGCTTCTTCCTGTCTTTTTACCTCTTCTTCATAAGCTACATCCTCCTATGATGGTGTTTCGGACGTCTTGAGGGACCCAGAGAGGGGATGGGAGGCAAAGGAGGTCCGCTTGGTGGAGGGGAGGGACTATATGGAACCGATCCACAGGATGAAGAGAGACGAAGCCGAGAAGATGAAGTTGAGAGGAGAGAGAGAGAGAGAGAGAGAGAGAGAGAGAGAGAGAGAGGTCGAAGGAAGAGAGCTATCAAGAAGAGATATTAAGAGACGAGAACTGGATGGGTTCTTTTTCTATCTACTACTACAACCACTTTACGGCCCAACAGGCAGACGAAGCAGAGAAGCCACAGCCTCGGAGACGAGCGTTGCACCGGACCATCATACCTGCAGATATTTTATTTTTCTCTATCAGCACTTTAAGGAGCAATAGAAACAAGAGAAGAGTCGGATGATCAAGCTCGCCTCCAGGTTGTGCTACCACCGGCAAGCAGGACATCACCAGGCCGCCACGGTCGAGTATATGAAGAGAGATAGAGACAGGACAGAGGGAGGGAGTATAGAGGGAGGGAGAAGAGGGGTGACTTCAGCTTGCCATGGCACTCGCTCGTGGAGCGGTCATGTCTTCTGCTTCTCTCCCTGTGTGCTTCATCCCGAGTCAACGCGGGTGTAACTGATAACTGCCGACTGGGACACATTAAGAGTATACACACATCGTACGGAGTATACGGGGTAAGAAAGTCTCTCGGCATTGACATGTTGTACATGGTATTCCAGGTATACGCCCTGAAAAGAAAAGACCGAGGTTAGCAGCTCGTTACTTGTTTTTTGGTATATACATGCATGCAAGTACTCCATAGACATCCATACTCACATACCTTATATGCAACCAGACGCCGCGGGGTAGGAGATCACGGCAGTTACCAGTCATTTATTCCAGTACAGAAGAAAAAAGAGCCATAGAAGGAAAAAGAAAAGAGGAAGAGATGCTCGAGGCAGCAAGATGGATTGGTCCGGCAGATACCCATAGTACATGGCCATGCAAGTCGCATATTTCAGTCTCTGGGTTTAACTAGGCTGTACTGTGTACATCGCAGCAAGTATATACATGGGAGTCAAGTACCAAAGTCTGGTAAGTTACGGCTAAACGTCCTGCCCTGGACGATGATAAGCCAGAGAGCCTTGTACACCGGCAGCAACCCATGGAAAGAGAGTAGAGAGGTAAGGGGGAAAAAGGGCCGTTTCCATGGCTCAAGCAGAAGTCTTTTCTCTCTTTTGCCTCTTCGCACAGTGAAGTCGGGAGTTGTTTTGACGTGCTATTCATATCTTGTATGCTGTCCTATCGGTAATACTTCATCATCTTCCATCTCTTCATCTTTCATCTCTTCATCCTCTCGCTTCTGTCTTGCTTCTGTCTTGCTTCTTCCTTTCTGTGTGAATCTTTTTCTTTTCCTGAATAAGCAAATCTCACGTGATGTTATCCCACGTGACTGGAAGTTAAAGAGCTTGGAGGCAAAAAAAGGGAAAAGATGGAAGAAGAAGAAGAAGACAACAGGCTGCGATTCCCAGCGTTGAAGGGTTTACTATATTAGGGGTTCTGGAGCTTCGATCTCCAAGAGAAATGGCCCGGAAACACAGAGCAGTTGCAAGGGCAGCTGCCGCTTCAATAGGTAAGTTGGAAGACGCGGTTGGGTGCCGTCATATCTACCTCTACGTATCATGGATGTAAGCTTATATGTAGAATAGAATCCACGCCGCAACAGCTAGAAGAGTCTGATGCCGAGATGACAGGCATGACGACACCCCCAAAGGACAGTCGCGGAGACGAGGAGGAAGAGGAAGTGGAAGGAGAGGAAGGAGAAGACGGTGAAGGCGAGGGTGAAGGCGAGGGTGAAGGCGAGGGTGAAGGCGAAGGCGAAGGCGAGGATGGCGACGAAGAGGACGAGCGAGGGACACCACAGACACCCGCTGCAGACGCAGAGTCCGAAGGAGGCGCGCAGGATACACCCTCTCGCTCGAGCACGACAGGACGAGGAAGCAGCAGCATGCTGGGACGGCCTCGACGCCGCCGCATCGGCCGGCCGCCCAAGAACAGGCCCGCAGACTGGGA